TGATCCAGAAGAACCAATGGAGATCTGCTAATCTGCAGTGACAAGGAAGTTGGCAGGTGAAAAAGCAAGGACAGGACAGAGCGTGAAATACCAGCTTGTAGCCCTTGGAGACTACGTCCTGCACCTGTGGGCATGAGATGCAACCTGTTGTTTCTGCAAAGGTTAAAAAAAATGTTCCACTCTTTCCAGAGAGTGGGAGATGCCCTAATTGTGAGGAAGGTTTGCCTGAGGATATCTGAATGTTCTTGCTACCAGTAGGATCCTTGACAATGGTATCCAGTGTAGATTGAAAGTGATGTCCTTTGAAGACCACACGACTCAGGCATTTCCTAGACACAGGTTCTGCAGTCCAGCACTTTACCCAAAGTGTCCTCAGCACGTGTGTAGGAGACCCATGCAGGAGATGAGATCAGAAACCTCCAGCAGGCCATCTCAGTTGTAGCTTAAGACTACAGCTGTTTGCTCTATATTCTACAACCAAGGGATCTACAGCAGTAGAAGCAAGATCTTTAAAAGGACATTCACCAGTCAGCCATGGTTCAGCAAAGCAATGTTACAGCTGAGGTGGGGTTGGGTGCAGGGCTTGCCAGTGTAAGCAGTACGCTAGAGAGGGTTTCCAACCATTTATTGGTTGGATCTCTAAAGATGGGTCTATGCTCCACTGGCATGGTGGTGCTTTTATAAGGTGGGGCACTGCAAAATTCACAGTGGCGCAGTCCACTTTTTTGCAAAGTCTTCTTTAAACAGGTACAAAGCTTATAAAAACTTGGAGAGTAAACATCCCATCAGGGTGTTTCCAATCTCATAGGACAATGACTTTTAACAGCAGGTCCACTGGGAAAGTCTCTGCAGTCTTAGTGACACTAACAGCCCAGGAAGAAACCTGGCTGATCCCCTAGTTTGTTGCATGCACTGCCTTAGGAGTCCAAAAGATCTCTTAATTTGAGAGTAATGACAGAAGACTGACTCCCCTGAGGCTAGTAAGGTAAAGACTGGTGCAACCATGAGCCATCGGTTACTCGGACTCTGTATGATTCTGAGGCCACAAGTAGATCAAGATGCAGAATTTGCAGAGGAAGGAGCAGAAGCATGCTTGTGGCCTCTGTGGTCAAAGTAAACAAATAACTGGGTGATTAAGGCTTAAAAACTTTGTATGACTTCGGGAAAAAAAAAAACAAAATAAAAAACACAACACTCACTGGAGAGGACAAATAAGCTAACCACATCAAACAGAGCAAGGGAAACTCCACCTACAAGATAAACTGTAGACTCAGAGCAATGGCATTCCAGGATACAGATATTGGCCTCATCAGTACTCATGCACCAGAACTGTTAAAGTGTGACCGGGGGGGTACCTGGTACAGCAGGACCACCCCCCTTCCTATCTAGAATAAGCCACGTTGTGACTAGGAGATAGTAAGTCAATGTAAATCTCAGGGTACAAGGCAAGCATTCACAAAACCATCTAAAGCAGTTGAGGTTCGGATGGCTGGAAGTGACCAAAGTCAATGTAGGCATGCAGCAGAACAGATTGAAGTTTCATGTGGCACACGCTCACACGCTTGTGACACTTAACCCAGGGGATTACATCAGTGCTCAGTCATACAGTAGTAACCCTTCCAGAGTTGACATTTCCACTAAACTGTACATTTTACAGTGCCCAGCAACCTATGTACTTGAGGTAGCTTCTGGTCCTTGGCTGAAGAAACCAACTTGCAAATTGAGTGTTCATTTACAGGGTAAGTGCTGAGGCAATAAAAGAAGTTCTGGACCTGGAAAGTGCTCCATGGCTAACTGATGCGACAACTATTGCCTGAAGGTCACTTCCAGGCTCACCCTGAAACCTCTAGTCCAGCAAAGACTGAATTCAGCACTCCAAAACCAGGCTAGGGATGGCCATACTAGACAGTTGCAATTGAAAAGACCAGCTCTAGCAGCAGTGAAAAAAAAGATTGAATCTTTTCTTCACTGATTGAATAACAATTTCCTAAATTTGGGGGGGGGGGGGGGGGGGGGGGGGGAGAATGCTAACAAAAACAGATTACTTTAACACAGTAGAGCTTAGGACACAAGCAAGAGAGGAAAAAAAAAAAAAATTAAGGCATGCTGGTATTGGAGGGGTTATATCCAGGGCTGGCATTCATTTTTTTTTTTTTTTTTTTGCTACTGTGTAATCCACCTGTAGGTAGCAGTATAAACCAAAGGTAACATACTTCCTGAAGTCTGGAGGTAACTTCATGTGTACCTTAATCGAAGAAAAAAAATAAAAACCACTATTCTTACTATTGTGCTCTATGGTGCATTACCCTCACCTTGCAAACAAGCCCTAGAAGAAAAGTACATACAGCTTTTCAGTAGGAATAGACCACATTCCTTGGCGGCTTCAGAAAAAAAATAAAAACTGCTATCACAGAAACAAATAAAACTCCTGGAACAATGTATATTTACAATGTTTTATAGTTAAAACGATGTGGACAGTTCATCAAATTGTGAAAATAAATAAAAGCCTACCATCTATATACAGCGGTGGCTTGGATTTTGCTATATAATAAGCACAAAGAGTCTATCGATTCTACAAGAGCCATAGACATGTCTGGAGTATGAGGCAAAAAAAAAAAAAAATACCAAGAAATGAATAAGCCAATTTCTTGTAAAGGCAAGACATCAAGGCTAAATGTATAAGACAATGTCAAAATGTCACTAATTTCATAAGACAATGTCAAACTTCTAGCAACCAGTCAGGTTAACTTGTTTACCCTGTACTGGAAAACCTGTGGCAGGCGCTGCGTAACAAAAATTCATGAAGGTAAACTTGTTTGCACACCAGAGTTAAGCTGAAGTAATTTTTTTTTAATTTCATGATAATCACATACTTATATTTATAAAAAGTATGATTTAAAAACTTTACTCTAGTGTACAGAAGACATCTTCACAGGTTACCATTTTGTTCTATCTGGCATATTCTGAGGAAAAGATGAAATTTGTTGGGTTAGTGACAAACACAGCTTACTAGTACCCTTTGCCCTGGCCCAATAAATCAATGACTAGAGCAAACAGCTATTTTGTCAGCTAAATTGAACAGTAAAAGGGGAATCTGACACATAGTAAGACATCTGTGACAGGCCTCAGATGAAAATAGATTTTCTTTGGTTCCAGGGCTGTCTGCTAGATGTAGGATAGTTATGTTATTCACAATAAATCAGAGGTTCACCTTAACTACTCCAGGAGTCCCCCAAAAAAAAAAAAAAATGCTGTTTTATCTGAGGCTTCCTACACAGTTATTTGTATTCCCAATTAACAAAAGATATAGAAAATTGCTGTGACCACATTCTATAAGTGATGGCTATGTCATGAATGCTTCCTCAATATACATTCTTGCCAATATAAGAAAAATGTAAATAAAGAATTAAAAGAAGTGTAACTACATAGGTTTCAGTAGTGGGGAGAAAGGGAGTCTGGTTTGTATCGATACTTCACTTCTGTGCAATAATTTGTCAAATGCCAGTCTGGGCACCTCTAGTACAAAATAATAGACTAGGCATCAGAGATTTGCGTCAAATGTGTACTATGCTACTTATACAATCTTTTACTGAAGTTTCTTCAGCCTGAAAATACCTTTGCAAAACACAGGGTGTCGGCTAAAAAAACAAAACAAAAAAAAAAAAAAAAAAAAAAAAAAAAACACACATACATTTGAAGTAAATATGCACCATCAAATCTTTTTTATGAGTGAATTTGGAGTCACTGGTAGTTCTGACTGTCTGTACATCCAATCCCTATCCTTAACATGAAGGCACTTCACTTACTTTAATGCAACTGTTCCTCCAAAACCAGTCTGTCTATAGCTAATTCTAGCTGTATTTAAAAAGACACTGTCACTTCCTATTCAGCATTCACAGTGACAGTGCCTCCTGATTCCTCCCTCCCAGCAAAGTAATGAAATGGAATGCAAGCTCCCTTGTCCCCTTCCCACACTGCTGGGGTACACTCTGGGTAAACCCCAATGTCAGAGCTTACCTTGGTGGATAATATCATGGCTGCTTCCACATGACAGCATCCAGCCGAAGACTGGCCACCCAGGAACATTGTCACATGGGTAAGACCACATGCTCCCCATCTTTAAAAGCTCCAATTTGTTGAACAATGAACCAAGGGCTCAAAACAGAATGTGGGTGCAGTGAGGGAGTGTAATTGGGCAAATATACCTTGCTGAGGGGCCCAAAGGAAGCTCTGTCACTGAATGGGCAATATGGCAGTGTCTCTATGCAGACCATTGAGGCTACTAGATCCACAGAAGTCTTTGGAATCTCTCACACTCTGGCAGAAGTGGCTGGAGGAAAATCGGATCTAATGTGTACAGTACAGAGTTAGAAATTAATGACATTTAGACACCACACCTACTTTTTCCCCAACCTCTGAAACCCCTTCAGTGATCATTACCTTTAAAAAGTTGCTTACACATTCCTTGAATACATGTACTATTGATAATGATGGTCCATGAAAAAAAGACAGGAAAAGTAAGAATGTATAAACCCAAAAGGTTTAGAAATACTGCCCAATGACTTCAGTTTATAATTCTTCAAACTATATCTTACATATTTATACATACATATTGCAGCTACGCTACAGACCCCAGAAAAACTAGTGGAAAGGAATTCAGTGGTTAACTATAGCAACCAGGTGCTTCTCTTTCTAAGTTGCACGAGAAAAATCACAGATGGGATCTGATTGGCTGACAGGCTTATGATTTTTCTTGCTGCTCTTCAGTTTTTTTCCGAGACTTAAGTGAATCTTCTGTACATTTAATAAATCTGAAGTAACAATGAAGTGGGTGGGGCTCCTACATACTAAACAAAAATATGAAACATTTCCCCCATATGATGGCATTAATATCGTATATTAATTTACATTTCTAAGCACCCTTTTTTGACACCAAACTTTTTACAATGTATTAAATTAGAATACAATACTACAAAAAAAGACCTATGAAATTTATACAATCATTGGCGCTTCATTCTTTTTCCTGCCATTTCTCCTGAGGAGTGGCGTCCTCTAGTCCTTGGTGTTGGTGGGCTGGATTCTCTCCTTTTTGCACCACTTGTTTGTGGTGTCTGCTGTGGGCTTGACCTGAAAAGAGATTGAGTATATGGTCACTGTCAGAAAATGTGTAAAATCTGAAGTACTTTTTTGTCTTGTATTTACATGTCCTGGAGAGCATACCTAAAATATCCAAATATTTAAAGGCCTCATTTTATTTTCCAATTAAAGTACTATAGATTATTAGGGATGAGCTCAGGCGTGTTCAGATTCTAGTCCGAAACCCCCATAAGCGATCCCGCCAGGATATATTTGGCCATTCACAATAGGCCAAGGCATTCCCTGCTCTGTAGTTACACATAGAAAACACCCCTTGTATGCATGCGGCTGTAGGGAATGGAATGAACGGCTGCTTATGATTGGCACAGTAGAAACAACCGTAAGCAATCCCGCCAGGATATATTTGGTCATGCATAAATGGCGAGGCATTTCCTGCTCTGAAGTTGCACATATAAACACCGTATGTATGCAAGCGGCTGTAGGGAATGAAATGATCGGCTGTTTATGATTGGCACAGTAGAGATTACAGCTTCTTGGCTGAATTGCTCAGGTGGGTTCAGACTAGGAGCCACACACGCCAGAGCACATCCCTAGTAACTATTCCCTTTAAAAACTTTTAGATGTCTTACTCAGGAAGCAGAACATAAAGGCCTAGGGGAATTGTTAGAAAACAACAATTACACACACAGGTTGAACTGGATGGATCGGTGTCTTTTTTCAACCTTATAAACTGTAACGACTGTAAAGCAAGGGAATGAAAGGTTGTCTATTTATTACAGTGACAAAATTAAAATTGCAATGTTGTAGAAATGCTGAGTCTTTGCCTAAAGCTTAATATGCTCCCCCTTTTCCCCAGCAAGTGTTTCTTATAGGCCCAAATCAGACTTGAACCTCCCTTTGGATCCATGCACCCTACACTGTAGCCCAGTGGCACCTCATAATCAAGCCAATTTTTTTTTTTTTTTTTTTTTGCATGTCTGCAGGAAGATGGAACAGACAGCACACACGCACAGAGATAGGGTCTCCACCTTACTTTCTATGGAGGTGAGCCCACACACACACACACAGTACAGCAGAAACTTCAGTTCCCCATTTTAAGAACCACTGGTTGACCACTTTATGGGTCACAGGGATGGAAGAGATGCAAGTCTGACCTGGGATCTGCCATGTGACCGTTTATGACCGTTTTATAGAGAAAGCTTGGGGGGGGGGGGGGGGTACATTAAGCTGCATATGTGCACTTGTCCTTTACTTACTTGCTGATCCTCCCCTGCCAGATCCCAACACTGCTGCAACTACTTGAAAATAAATTTCAGTCACAGTGACTGCCCAACTAATTTACTGTATTTCTGCAAAAGAAAAGGGATAAGTGCCCAGCCTTGAGGGCTGGAGCAGCTTGTCAAGATATCCAAGTCACAAACATCTCCTGCAGTTTTCCTAGAATCTAGAACTTTACAAGGCCTGATCTAGAACTGGGATCCAGCAAATGTGGCACCTAACAAGCTCCTCTATCCTGTCTCCAAGGTAAAGGGAAACCATGATAGCTTTGAAGTACATTTTTGATAGGTAAATTTTAAAAAGATATACCCTTCTTTAAAATAAATTAAAATGTATGTATGTATGTATGTATGTATGTATGTATGTATGTATATATATATATATATATATATATATATATACACACACACACACACACACACACACACACACACATACATACACATACACACACACCCTTTGTTTTGTCATGTAGCAAATGTTTATTTGTAATACATTCTCAGAGCACTATTTGTTAAGTAAAGGCATCACAAAACAGTATCTTACTTTAAAACGCAATTTGACAGAAATGACTGATAACTGATGAATCAATGCGGATGATGATTTTCACATAACAGAGATAAGCAGCCCAGCATCTCATCTAAAGCTGGGTGGATGGATTTGTGTAGTAGTTCCCATCAGGTGTGTTGTATACAGAATGCATTTTCAGCGTTCTGTATTACTGTGACTGGGGTTATAAGGAAGAGAGCCTAAACAAACATTTTCTGTCCAGAAAATTTTTATCTGTTTGCACTGAATAAAAGGCCAATGCATTTTGGGAATTCCAGAACCTACAAAAGACACTGACATTTTATTTAATGCAAACACACATAATTGTTCTTAAATTAAATTTATGGTCCTTCTCAAAGCCTTAAAGAATAAATTCACTTTATAAACATTTGCATTTACTATTTTTTGTTTTAGGCGCGTGGAAAGCTTTGCATCAAAGATCAGCAGATAGCTGGTGCCATGCAGGTCTACAGGACAGGAAGAATCAATGAATTACCACAGCGCTCAACAGAGTTGTGGTAGTTCATTGAGAACTACAAGTCAACAGCTGCAAATGCTGTCAGGGAGTTATAGTTTCCCATTCACAGACCTCTGAATGAATGACGCAGCCGGGCGGACGGAGCCCGCTAGATGTCACAACTGGGGGATCAGGGGGGCCGGTCCTACCGTAGGAGTGTAACATGTTACCAAAGGCAAACTTATCCTTTGTAATCTGATGAAAGAAGCCTGTTCTTTACACAGCAGTGACTCATCCGCAGACTTTAAACCAAGAAAATGAGCTTAAAGCTCCACCTGCTGGCTCTGAAAACAAAATATTAACATGCTACAATTTATATGCCAAAAAAATGATTTAAAAAAAAAAAAAATGCCATATGAAAACTCACATTTTTAAAAAGTAGGTAAGAGATTGTCTTTCAATGAACATTAAAGGAACTCACCTCTTTGCTGTTTTTCCAGTCTTAGACTCAGGAGACTTAATTTTACGCCTTCTATCAGCTAAGGAAGGTTTTTCAGGGCTGTTTAATTTTGAGGCTGCTCGGGTTGTTGGCTTGTGTGGCAGTTTACTAAAGTAACACATAAATATTACATTTAGTTGCAGATACTATACATAGTAGGTAGATGCATGTTTATTAGTCCCAACCACCTAAAATACCCAAATGTAGCATCACATGTCCAAATTGAAAATACATAAATGAAATAAAGCACAGAGCACTGCAGGTATGCAGCGGATCCATATGTGAACAAGCTTAGCTCCTCCATCTCGTTTGCCATTGAGTCGACTTGGACGTAAAAGTGAAAAATTTGGTCCATGGAAATAAGAATTTCTAAAAAACAAACAATCAAAGATGCACTACTAAAACATGAATAAAGCTGCATTTAAAAGTGCATCTCAGGTCAAACCGTTTTCTTTTGGTTTTGGATTGGAGTCAGAATATATAGCCCCTATTCCACTTTTTACTGCTCTGTGGGGCCCACCTCTCTGTTCAGTTGCCCACCTGACTACCATAACAGCTAAATTACTATTGCCTGCAAGCAGCACTTCAAGAGTTGCCAGAAACCTGAGCTTGGGAAAAATCATGGTTGTTTTGGCTAAAGGCGCTGTAGGCTGTAAAACACAGAGCTACCTTATACAACAAAGTCTTTAACCACTTCAAGTCCAGACACTTTTACCCCCTTCCTGTCCAGGCCAATTTTCAGCTTTCAGTGAAATACCACTTTGAATGACAATTTCGTGGTCATGTAACACTGTACCCATATGAATTTTTTTAGCATTTTTTTTGAGACAGATAAAGTTTAATTTTGGTGGTATTTATTCACCACTGGGATTTTTATTTTTTTTTTGCTATATAAATTAAAAAGTCCAAAAATTTTGAATAAAAGTGTTTCTTTATAGTTATCTTTTTAGTAAAAAAAAAAAAAAAATAAATAAATAACCCAAATTAGTTTATAAGCAAAAATTATAATTTTTTTTATATATTTTTATTTTATTTTTTTTCTACATACTGTCACCATATCAGTACAGTGTCACCATGGTGACACTGTACTACTTGTGGGGGGGGGGGGGGGGGTGGGGGGGGGTGATGAAGTTTTTTTTTTTTTTTTTTTCTTACACGGATTACTTTTACACCCATAAAGGCTGTAAAAGCAATAATTTCTCCTCTCTGGCTGCATTCTCGCAGCCATTGAGAACTACTCTGTGAGCTGTGATTGGTCACAGCTTGTCACATGGTACAAGGCTGTTGTGAATAGCCTTGTACCATGTGACCTCTGATCATTCACAGATTTCACACGTAGTAAGCAATGTCGTCAGAAGTGACATCTTGCTTACTACTCTGCATGTGATCACTGATTGGCCAATCAGTGATCACATGATCGGGACCTTGCACAGAGGTCTCGTACGACGATCGGAGGACACAGTGGGCACTGGATCGCGGTGCAGTGAGCTCCCAAGGAGCGCGCCCAGTCCATAATGGCAGGCGCGGTTTATGAACGGCAACCCGCCCCTGGACTGCCTCAGTCCGTTTATATACAGTGGCTGGACGGCAAGTGGTTAACAAAAGATGGGTATACATGAAGAGGGTGTGATGAATAAATTGTTCAAATGATTTTAAGTGAAATTAGATGTCAAATGTTTAATTAACATCCTGGCAATGTTCAAAGAGCGATGAAAATACATAAAGAAAAAGTATTAATTATTCAATTACATGTTAAGCCAGAAAGTCAGTTGCTCTGCCAACAAAAATTATCAATGTACCACATATAAAAAACCATATGCTAGTCAGTCAGTCATTCTGACAATAGGCCAAAATACAAATCACATCCTGCTAGATATTCTGCCACTAAACCAATATGCAAACTGCTTGCGGCATCTCTCAATGTACAGAGGCTGGTCACTGTGCCATGACTTACTGCCCAAATCTCAGTCATGGTAATCACACACCTGACAGTGTTATAATTGCATTTTATATGCTTGCAGCCCCACCATTTCTTACCTACACAAACCACCTTGTAGAAGCTAACAGACAAGCTGAACACATGGTAGAGAGGAAGGATTACTGCTTTTAAACAGCTTAAGCAGTCGCTGCTGTAAACATGAACATGTATCTAATTTGAAGGAAACATGGAATGTGCCCTGCTGATCCATATAGCACGTTACATGCATCAGTCACTAACCTTTGACAAGTATGCTGATAAAGACTTTGCTTTGATTTTCTTGTACACTTGTTTCTGGTCAATGACTCAGCAACTTCTTTTCAGGAGGGCAACAATATCAATTTATATTTAGGCAAGCTTTATTTTAAGTGACGTGGTATGGGAAATGAAAGGGAAAAACTAACAAAATGCTCTGGTGACCTGCAAGCTCTATGCCATCATCCATGTTTTGTACCTCTGGGCTTCCAGACGGGATGCAGCTCTTGTTGTTGCCCCTCTAGGGGTTTCATCTTCACTATCACTATCCTCCTGATCTTGATCCTCTTCCTCATCCTCTTCTGTATTTTCTGTCTTCCTGCGCTTTTTCTCTGGATCGGAGCCTTCTGTCATTACAAATCACACAAAAGTATATTAAACATATTGCTCTGGGCCAGAACACTGGAGGGAGGCGTTACAGTCTGTTCACATGAGCTCTTTGAGAATGTCTTAGGGGCTTAGTCAGTCAACTATATATAAAATTTTACGTATCCATCATACGCTGTCCAAAACTATGCACCATGGGTCTACTGCAGGAATTTACCTGCAGTAGATGTCACAGAGATCATGACAACTTAATGCATATGCTGTGGAACTGTTTTAATCTGCACAAATATTGGGACACAGTTATTAATACATTTGACAAGGATATTAAAATAGATCTCAGACAATGTATATTAGGCATAATGGATGATGTAGTCCCTCAGGCATCCACTAGAGAAGCAATTTCCAGAGCACTATTTCAAGTGTAAATTTGATCCAAAATACTGGAAAACAGAACATCCTTCGACTCTGGAGGAGAGGATACGTATAACATGCAATGCCTTAGGATAGGAGTGCCTAATTTACCAACATCGAGGCTGCCCCAACAAGTCTAAAAGAGTATGGAAGGGTTGGCTGAATATACCCAGCATTGCCCCATTCAATTTGGTGTCGCACAGATTATTAAAAGGGGCTAGCATGATTTACATACCTTTACTTTCATTCTATGTGAGATCTACTTTCTTATGTATTATTATTATTATTATACAGTATTTATATAGCGCCAAAAAGGTTTGCTCAGCGCTGTACATTATAGTGGGGGACAGAACATGAGACAATACAGCAACAAACAAAACACGAGAGGTCCGAGGGCCCTGCTCTTTCGAGCTTACAATCTAGGAGGGAGGAGATAGTGGCACAGGAGGAAGTGGCTGTGGGGGATGGAGTGGTAGGAGGAGTGGAGGAGATCGGCAGTTAGGTGAGGCTGGGGTAGGCTTCCCTGAAGAGATGGGTTTTCAGGGTGCGCCTAATGGTGACAGTCTGATGGATTGGGGTAGTGAGTTCCAGAGGATGGGGGAGGTCCTGGAGAAGTCCTGAAGTCGGGCGTGGGAGGTGGAAACCAGGAGCTAGAAAGTAGGAGGTCTTGTGAGGAGTGAAGATTACGGGTTGGGTGGTATTTGGGTATCAGGTCGGTGAGGTAGTTTGGAGCAGCGTTATGAATGGCTTTGTATGTCAGTGTTAGTAGTTTGAATTTGATGCATTGGGCAATTGGGAGCCAATGGAGGGGGTGGCAGAAGAGGAGCGGTTGGTAAGGTGGATGAGTCTGGCTAGATACTACCTGAACACCCTGTATGTAGTGGCACCTTGAATATGTGGTTCATATTTTTCAATAAACTTTGGTTAAATACAGCAGGTAAAATAAGAACACGTCACCATATGTAGTTGCATACAATATTGGCAAACTTCATATCATTTGAAGGAAGGATGAATGGAAAAATGTACCAAGACATTCTTGACAAAAATCTGCTGCCATCTACCAGGATGATGAATTTGATGTTTCAAAGAAAAAATAAATCTGCTAGAATGGCCCAGTCAAACACCTGATTTGAATTAAATAGGAAATCTATGGAAAGAACTAAAGATGAGTTCACAGGAGAGACCTATGGAACCTTCAAGATTTGAAGACTGTGTAGAAGAATGGGCCCAAATGAAACCTGAGCACTGCATGTGCCTAGTTTCTCCATACAGGAGGCATCTTTATGCGGTCATTACCAACAAAAGATAGTTCAGTTAGTGTGTTCAATACACCTTTCCTGTGTCATTCATTTTTATTACACAACTTAATTTATGAACCGATTTGTTTTGGTTTCTTTGTATGTATGGATTGCATGGGATGTTACTGACGTGGTAAAAATTTCATGTCAAGCATCTTTAGAAATATATTTACCTAGAAAAAATGGTGACATGTTCAATACCTTTTTTACCCGCTGTATACTGCGCTGTGTAAAAGGTTAAAGAGTGATGCTGAGTGACTCAGCTATAAATCAGGCCAACTGACATAATGCAATAAATTTTATTCACCCTGATTTAACCACTTCCAGACCGGACACTTTTACCCCCTTCCTGACCAGGGCAATTTTCAGCTTTTAGCGCTATCACACTTTGAATGACAATTGCGCGGTCATGCAACACTGTACCCAAATGAATTTACCATTTTTTTTTAGATAGATAAAGCTTTATTTTGGTGGTATTTATTCACCACTGGGATTTGTATTTTTTTTGCTATGTAAATGAAATGTCCAAAAAATTTTTAAAAAAGTGTTTTTTTTTATAAAATTTTGCAAATAAATAATATTTCATCATAAATCTTAGCCAAAATTTATTCCGTTATCTTTTTAGTAAAAAAAAAAAAAAAAATCCAAATTCGTTTATAAGCAAAAATTATAATTTTTAACATTTTCTTTTACATTTTTATTTTATTTTTTTATATTATTATTTTTTATTTTTATTTTTTTTTTACATACTGTCACCCTAGCAGTACAGTGTCACCATGGTGACACTGTACTACTTGTGAGGGGTGATAAAAAATTTTTTTTTTTTTTTACACTGATTGCTTTTACACCCATATAGGATGTAAAAGCAATCATTTCTCTTTCTCTCTGTCTGCATTCTTGCACTCATTGAGAAATACAGAGTGAGCTGTGATTGGTCACAGCTTGTCACATGGTACAAGGCTTTTGTGAATAGCCTTGTACCATGTGACCTCTGTGATCATTCACAGATTTCACACGTAGTAAACAATGATGTCACAAGTGACATCTTGCTTATTACTTTGCATGTGATCACTGATTGGCCAATCAGTGATCACATGATCGGGACCTCGTACAGAGGTCCCGCCCGACGATCGGTGTTTCACTGTGTCCGGAGGACACAGCGGGCACCGGATCGCGGTGCTGCGCGCTCCCAGGGAGCGCGCACAAGCAGGGTGCGGGGAGGCCGTTTATAGACGGCCACCCGACCCTGCAGTGCCACCGTCCGGCCGTTTATATACAACGGCCGGTCGGGAAGTGGTTAAAGAGAATTTTACAATTCACAAATCTTAAGGCCTACTTCACATGGCCATTTAGGAACCCAGTAGATACTGCTAAACATCCGTGCGAAGGAGGCCTAGGGGTCTGGATTAAAGAATGGTGTGATTTTCTGCAGATCAGATAAGATCAGTATGCAGATATTCAGCTGAATCAGAAGTACACACATGAAATGAATCTCCTGATTCGCTCATCATTATTTCATTGTTTTAATATGTTCATACAAAGCATTACTAAAAAGGAACATTAAAAAAAAAGGGTTGATTGGAATGTGATATTTAATGTTCGAATATTTAGAAAAAAAAAATGGTTTTAAAGCAGGGGGTCTGCACTGAAGTTCAAGCAAATAGCTAAACATACAAATAAAATACTTGTATGGGAGTGGTTTTATCTGCTAAAGGCTCTCTTTCAGTCCAGCCTATTTTAGATCCAGACATACTTTACCAACAGGCTAGTGACCTGGGTATTCTCTACTGTAGTTATGTAGAAGCTCCCTCCCTGTCTTCAGCCTGAGATCGGACAATGATGGAGCAGCACCATACTGATGAGCCCATGAGTATTATATCCTTAAAGCAAGCTACAATGCATTAAAAATTCTAAACATACTTTATAAAAATACATGTGTTGCCAGGAGCAGACTTGTGAAAGGGCCCTTTATCAGCAAAATTACCTGTGCAAAGCCCCAAAGGGAAGCATTTTCTAATTTCTAGGCTATATAAAATACATTCAGCTTCATTGTCCAAGATCACTGTCCTTGAGCTAGTATAACCAAGAGTCAAAAAGATATTTTCCATCTGGGATTTCTCAGATATGTGTTTTGCTTTAAGATAGGTGAACTTTTAGACAAAAATAAATGCACATTTTTTTTTTTTTGCAGGTAAAAAATAATGTGCATTTATTATTTTTTTTGTCTACAGGAGCTTGGAAAGCATTGCACCAGTGATCAGTAGATCGCAAATGCCATGCAGGTCTCCTGCAGACCTGTCAGAATATCTGCTCGTCATACGGGATGTACAAGCAGATATTCTGACAGGAAGCTTCAATGAACTACTATGGCACTCCACAGCGCTGTGGTAGTTCACCAAGAACTACAAGCCAACAGCTGCTAAGACTGTTGGGACTTGCAGTTCCATTCATTCACGGAAGTCCGTGAAGGAATGATGTGGCAGTGTGGGCGGAGCCCTGCACAGCCACGTGGTTTTCAAATTTGACAGATAGCACAAAACTTCTGTACTGTCAGAGGGGTGGGGGGTGCGGGTGTCTATGGGAACATGTTACATGTTCCACCCTAAAAACAGGTGGAACATGTAACATGCTCCCAAAGGTGAACTTCTCCTTTAACTCTGCATATATGGACTATGAGAAAAGCCAATTTTAGTCTATAAATTTGGCAGTTTAGGGAGCTTCTCATAGTTTTGTCATTTGTCCCTTTAAAACAGGGAAACAAATGAAGCCTTGGATGGCAGATTGATGTGTTATGATGTGAAAGTGATGTGAATTATGATGTGCAATAGGGAAAAGAGTTAAAAAAAAAGAACAGCAGTGGAGAGTGCTTGCGTTAAGTATTGAATAATGAATACCATTCTCAGAACTTTGTGAACGCCTCTTTTTCCTTCCTCTTCGCTGTACAGCTCCAGGACTTCTTTCTGAATCTGTAACCTAGAAAATGTCAAGATTGTTTCATTGCTTGTGACTGTTCCCAAACTTAGTTTTTTTAGAAAGATTTTTCAGCGTTCCTAAAAACTGGACCCCTAAAATCAATGCTCACCCTTCATAATCGTTTGTGGTGAAACATTCTACTTAACCACTAACTATAAAGAGGCCCTTCCTATATCATGGTAAAATCGAATACTCTTCTTACAGTATGGTGCGCAAAGACCGCACTTCACACCCCAGATACATCCTTACAAATAATGTTTTGTTACATATCCCAAGCTTGTATCTGCTTTTGCACCTGCTGGTGCTGCCTAACATACTGTTAGAGTATTTGTATCAGACTGACTTTTATTAAAGTATATGTAAACGTTCGCCTTATAAACAAAACAACACAATCAGTTTAAAATAGAAATGAAAAAGGCAAAAACGTGCGCATGCATATATATATATATATATATATATATATATATATATATATATATATATATATATATATATATATACTATATATATATATATATCAAGCAACATTATACTACTGATGATCACAAACCCTCTATTCTCAACTGCATAAGGAGCTCAGAGAGCTGGGGGAGGAGAAACAGAAGCACAGTGATCTTCACAGTGAATAGCTGCACAAGGGGGCGCATGTCAGCACAAGAGTAATCACTGGAGGAGAGCAAGATGAGTCCTCAGCACAGCTAGAGAACTGGCCACACTGTGCACCTATGCCTAGTGCAGTCAGTTTTTGATAGGAAAGCAAAAAGGGACTGGCAGGAACACCAGGGATTTCACACCAAGGAAGCAATACAAAGAGAACATGATACTTTTTCATACAAGCACATGGTGCAGGAGGCACATATCAGGAATATGAAATGTTGGGTTTACATATTCCTTAAGGAAACACCGAGGCATCTATGACATTGGCAATGTAGCATTAAAAGCTATATATATATCCATCAGCTGAGGTAAGCAAAGTAGCTCATATTTGCAATAAATAAATGGTTTGGAAATCTTTAAATTGCTGAGAATTATTATACACAATACAGGCTGACAAAAACAAGTTGTTTCAGTGGTAACTTGGTCAGCAGACACTGATTGTTCCCTGTGCATTATATCATTTAGTATCACGTTCTTTTCCATATGTGTTTTCCCAACAGTATTCTATTTAATGTATAAGGTGTTTAATCTTGCACACTTAGGAACTTGAAATATCAGTCATTTAAAGCTGAACCCCAAAAATGTGACAAACATCCACCCTTGTAGTTGTAGCACTGCAAGGGTTAAATGGTTGTATAGTCTAGGACAGGGGTAGGCAACCTGCGGCTCTCTAGCTGTTGTGGAACTACATTTCCCATGAGGCATTGCAACATTACAAAACTGACAGTTATAGCTATGACTGGCAGAGGCATGATGGAACTTGTAGTCCTGCAAAAGCTGGAGAGCCGCAGGTTGCCTACCCCTGGTCTAGGGGTATACAGATGGAGATAAATACTTGCATTACTCCTGGCCCTGGCAAATCCCTCAAAGGAGCTGCATGCTCAACCCAAACACCAACTGTACAATGCAGAATTACAGTAATATCCCTGTATTGCACATGATGATGTTTAGGCCTTGTTCATAGACCAGAGCTTTAAAGGAGAGGAGGAGAGCACCGAAGCAAGGAGTCAGGCAAGTAGTAACTTAGTCCCCTAGACTAAACAAGTATTTACCCCTTGCAGGACGGGGGACCCATTGTCACATTGCCAGAGGAAATAGCCACTGCCCATGATATCACATTAAGACCCTACTGAAATATGTCACTACTTTGAGTTTTAAGAAACCAGCATAAATGTGTAATCAGTAAAAATTATCTGTCTATTCCAGCCACAATGTCATTAATAAAAAAAACAACCTGAGACAATACCGGTCCTTGTGGAGTGTCACACAACATATTAAGTGCTGTCAAGTTGACTTTGGGCAATCCCATGGATACGGTTTCTCTAGAATCATCTTCTATTGGGTCTAATGTATTTGTTTTCCTAATGGTTTTCTTTGTAGGATGCAAAAGTGGTTTACCATGGTCTTCTTTTGAGAAATGTTAGGTAATGTCTTTGCCATTGTCACCTTTGTGACCATCCACCATTGACAATGTCCTTTAATCCTGTTCATTAAAAAGCAATAGGTTTTAGTCTGGCAACTCTACTCAAAGTGGTCTGCCATGAGTGACCCTAACAGATGTAAACTCCAGGTAGCATAGCTTTTAGCTTCCCTCTTCGCCTTGGGCATTTTTTGAATGAGGAAAAGGCTTTCTGTGATTGGCTGAGGTGGAGAAATGGGCAGATGATATCACAATCTCCACCTCAGCCAGAGGAAGCCCTGTATTTATTCATAAAATACAAAACCTCCTGTGAATGGCTGAGCAGCACTCAGCCAGACTCTATTTTGTTCTGCGCACAGAGCTGCTAAATGTATTAAGGAAATAGTTTGTTTGGATCAAGCTGGTCCAAACTACTTTCTAAAGTTAGTTTTAACCTGGAGTTAGGCTTTAGGAAAGCATGGAAAGGTATACTTCCCAATGAAGTAAACATGCTATCTTGCTCAAAAGCTGCTACTGAAACAAGTTGTGCAGGGATGGGGGGGGGGGGGGGGGGGGGGGGGGGTTTACAATAAAAAATACTCATGTAGAGGGTAGAACTCCCTATTTCACAATATACAATCTGGACTTACCTCAGATTTTTTGGATTCTGCATCTTTCTTCTCTTGATCAGAAGGACCTATGGATATACAGTTAAATATTAGATCACCACTGCAAAATTTGATACAGATATACAGTGGATATAAAAGGTCTCCACACCCCTGTTAAAATGTTAGGTTTCTGTGATATAAAAAAAAATGAGAAAATAAATAATTTCAGAGCTTTTTCCACCTTTAGTGCAAGCTATAAACTGTACAACTCAGTTGAACAACAAACTGCAATATTTTAGGTGGAGGGAAGTAAAAATAAACAACTAAAAATAATATGGTTGCACAAGTGTGCACCCTTAAAACGAATACTTTGTTGAAGCACCTTTTGAATTTTATTGCAGCACTCAGTCTTTTTGGGTATGAATCTGTCAGCATGGCACATCTTGACTTGGTAATATTTGCCCACTCTTCCTTGCAAAGACACTCCAAATCTGTCAGAGTGTGAAGGCATCTCCTGTGCACAAGACTCTTCAGATCACCCCACAGCTGTTTGATCGGATTCAGGTCTGGGCTCTGGCTGGGCCATTCCAAAACTTGAAACTTCTTCTGGTGAAGCCATTTGTTGATTTGGCTGTATGCTTTGGGTTGTTGTAAGGGTGAAAGATGAAGTTCCGCTTCTTGTTAAGCTTTCTAGAAGAAGCCTGAAGGTTTTGTGCCAATATGGACTGGTATTTGGAACTGTTCATAATTCCCTCTACCTTGACTAAGGCCCCAGTTCCAGCTGAAGAAAACCAGCCCCAAAGCATGATGCTGCTGCCACCACCATGCTTCACTGTGGGTATGGGTTTTTTTTGGTGATTTGCAGTGTTGTTTTTGCACCAAACATATCTTGGCATTATGGCCAAAAAGTTCAACTTTGGTTTCATCAGATCATAACACATTTTCCCACATGCTTTTGGGAGACTTCAGATGTGTTTTTGCAAATATAGCCAGGCTTGGATGTTTTTCTTCGTAAAAAAAAGGCTTCCGTCTTGCAACTCTACCCCATAGCCCAGACATATGAAGAATACGGGAGAATGTTGTCACATGTACCACACAGCCAGTACTTGCCAGATATTCCTGCAGCTCCTTTAGTTGCTGTAGGCTTTTTGGCAACCTTCCAGACCAGTTTTCTTCTCATCAATTTTGGAGGGACGTCCAGTTCTCGGTAATGTCACTGTGGCGCCATAATTTCTCCACTTGATGACTGTCTTCACTGTGTTCCATGGTATATCGAATGCCTTGGAAATTCTTTTGTACCCTTCTCCTGACTGATACCTTTTAACAATGAGATCCCTCTGATGCTTTGGAAGCTATCTGCAGACCATGGCATGGCTATAGGATGTGACTAAGAAAATGTTAGGAAAGACCTACGAGAACAACTGAACTTTATTTGGGGTTAATCAGAGGCACTTTAAATCATGACAAGGTGTGTACTGACTCCTATTTAGCATGATTTTGAATGTGATTACTTAATTCTGAGCATATCTACATACCCAGTTATAAGAAGGCTTGTACACTTATGCAACCACATTATTTTAGATTTTTATGTTTACTTCCCCCCCTAAAAGATTTCAGTTTGTTTTTCAATTGAGTTGTACAGTTTATAGGTCACATTAAAAAAAAAAAAAAAAGGTGGAAAACGTTCTGAAATGATTTATCTTTGTCTCATTTTTTACACCACAGAAACCTGACATTTTAACAGGGGTGTGTAGACTTTTTATATCCACTGTATTTTTATACTGTTCTTATTCAAAACACAGTGCAGACCATATCTAAAAAACTGATACAAGTATCAATAATTGCTGCAGACACAAATCCTTTAGAAAATAAAACCATATATGTGCAATCATCAGCGCCTCTACTAATTTTTTTAAAATTTATTTTAAAGTGTTCCTAAACCCACAACGGTAAAAATCAATTTGTATATACAGTAAAGCATGCTTGTTTTACTCACTGTGGAACTTAAGGGGTTAATCCTCTGCATTGTGTAAAAAGGAAGTTTGATTGTGTCTTCTCTGATCCTCCTCTTCTTCCACGTTCCATTTCATCTCCTGATAGAACAGAGCTCGGGGACACTCTGCACATGCTCAGTTTGGTGTGTACCTCTAGAGTGTTATTCTTCTTGGGAGGGAGCATGTGATCAGCACAGGGCCAATCAGCACTGTCCAGACAGAGGGTCAGGGGTCATGCAATCTCAGAGCAGTGAGGAGAAAATAAAACTCCTACACGCTTTAACCAGTGCTCTGCTGGACACTGATAGAAGTCACAAGAATGTTCTAACTGCTGATGAAAAAAAAAGCTATTTAGCAGTTTAGATTTACTAAAATAAATGCATTTCCATGTTCTGTGTACTGTGGGAGACCAGATATAGTGAATGAAGGGTCCTGGGTTTAGTAACACTTAAGTATTGTTACATGACAACAACCTGGATATGTGAGTAAAGGACCCACAAAAAAAAAAGTCCCAACACAGAAACAATCTGCAGCTTAAAAGATGAGTTATATTGAAAAATGTCAAAATGTAAATACAATAACCCCTACACCTTGCCCAGTATAAAACCTGAGCCACTGAAGCTGGATGATGGACAGCCCATGAGGCCCCAACACTCCTGGTACAATGACCTGTCTCCTGAAACGGTGAAGCCTTTCCTTTCAAACCACAGGCTTGAGAAAAATGCTGGCAAATCCACAGGAAATGCTTGACTTGGTAGCTGTCTGACTCTTCCTGTGACAATGTCAAAATGCAGTGTTCTCCTGGGCCAAGCTGATGTGACCAGAATCAGTAGTGTTCCCTCCAACCAAATCCTGCATAACAGGCATGGAAGAAGCTCTATTGGAGGGAAAGTATAAATCCAACAGAACTGGTCCCGCGGTGTCACCAGGGCATTCACCCCAAATGCTTGAGGATCCCCAGTCCTAGAATGAACATGTCCAGTTCACATTAAACCTAGAAGCCAGCAGATTCACATCTGGCAAGCCCCACCTTTGGCAGAGAGCTCTGAATACCTCTGGGTGAGGAGACCACTCCGCTGTCCCCTGGTGACAACTGCCTGGAGCTGAGGAGGTCCGCCTGCCAATTTTCTACTACTGGAATGTGAACTGCCGTCAGCGCAGGAACATGCAGTTTGACCCAGGTCAGAATGGGATTCATCTCCTCTTGAGCTGCACAGCTCTTTGGTGCCCCCTGATGATTGATATATGCCACTGTCATGGCATTGTCTGACTGGACTCTACCTACAGAAGTCCCTGCAACTGATTCAACCAATGCAGAGCCAGGCGTATTGCTTGCAGTTCCAAAATATTGACAGGCAAGGACCTTTCCTGTGGGGACCAAGAGGAAGTAATTCAAGTATCCTGGAATTAGAATACCTTGAGCACCCGACAGGGCAGACACTGGGGGCACACCCGAGGTGCAGAGGATAGGCAGAATAGCAGGGCCATGAACCGGTAGCACAGAGGTCCTACAACAAACGCAGAAAGCTTTGGTGTGGTGGAAGATGAGCACATGCAAGTATGCATCTTATAGCCACAAAAGTCAGAACATATCCTTGGTGAAGGGAACGACAGATCTGGTTTATGCCAGGTAAAATTTGCCACCTTCCCACTGTAGCATCCCCACCTGTCTAAGCTCTGGCGTTGATGTCATGGCATCCCCTTACTTACACACGCACCTGACAATGTTCAGACCTGGTGACTGGCTATCAGGTTCTATCCCTTACCCAGAAGCCCTGCTACACTTACAAAAACATCAACAATGCAAGTGTGGCTGGGTAATATATGTCTGGGGTGAGGGGAGAGCTAAGTGGGACAACATGCATATTTATACATAAAATACTACTGAAAATATGCACAAAAAAAAAGTAAAATTGCTAAAAGTTTATGTAACCTTGAAAATAAATTACATATTTTCTTTCACACACACAAGAAAACATCTAAGTTTTCATTTAAATTCAGGAACATTACCAGCATCTGTGTTTGTAGATAAAAACAGGTTACGCTTCTTTGGAGGTCGGCCTCGTTTTCTCTTAGGTGGTTCCTAAAAACAGAAAAAGTCTGGGTGACTACAACGATGAACACTGCTGGCCAGTGGATATCGAAAGAACCTGACACATACAAAACAAAAAAAAATTAAGAACAATGCAGAAGAGTAGGCATGGAAGCAAACAGATCTCTGAAAGGTACATTTTATATCTTCCAAAATGCTTCTGGTTTGCCCGATGTGCCCTTCAACCCAGGGCACACTGTCTGCCTTAATCTCAATCTCTGCAACAACGAAGTGAAAAGTTCCCAAACATAAAAGCTCCAATTCTTACCCAACACATCAATAACTTGATACACAGGGTCCCAGACATCTTCTCATCTGTGGTGAGGGAGGGTTCAGTAAGCAATGCCCACGTCACAGCCTGGTGATGAGCACAGCCCTTTTCTTGCCTAAAGTATTTATTATAGGGTCCCGAAGCAACCCAGAATATCATGAGGGATGGATGCAACACCGGTTGGCGAAGCAGGGAAGAAAGAAGAGTGAAACAGTCTATCACCTAGAGTTTTTTTTCTAGGTTTCTAGGGGCTTAAAGAGGACCTTCCAACACAAACACCAACATTCTCTAAAAGTATTTAGGGAAACATGTATGCTTACATATAAAAGATGTGCCTTTTTTCACATCTTGCCACATTTCTACTTCACCTGTTCTGAATGTACTCTGCATCCATACCGCCTTTTTTAAAAGGATAAGTTCACCTTTCAAGAAAAATAAAAGGCACATATTTTTCATGCCTGAGGAAGTCATATTTTCAGGGTCTGAGGAAGTCACGTGAGCGGTGACGCAACGCGTAGGTGACGTCATTTCCGGCGCGGATGCCATCTTTGGACTCCCTAAAGAACCCATGCATGAGGTTCTAATGCTGTATACAAGATGATCTACTATGTGAGTGTCCTGATTATGTTTTAACTTACTGCATAAATAAATGGTAATATACTATGGAGGCTTTTCTCCATGTGGACTATGTGGGAGCTGATTATACTGGATAAGAGCCATTTAAGATATTCCTCTGGAGGATACGCTTTAACCCAGGAGGATCCAGGAGTGATCCAAAAGGCCCTTAGGTCCTTTTAGGGTCACAGTAAGGAGGTGAGGAGCCAATCTACCTGTGTGTGCAGTCATCACCAGAGCCTACAACGCACAAGATTCACCTGCATGTTTCTATTTATTGTTGACACTGGTGGCACGTATTGTCATATATATATATATATATATATCTCTATCTTATTTTTGAGTGACGTATTCATTTACATATTCAATTTTTTATATCCATTATGATTTCAGTGGTTTATATATTTGTATATTTGTATGGATTAGAGTGTGTTGACACGGAGCACTAGTTATGTAGGTTATATCTCCCGGAGTTGGGGGCTGAATATAATTTTTTCACCTTATACACAATATTGTGTTATGTTGCACTGCTGCAGGATTTATATTTACTTACCTGTATTGAGAAGTTTTCACTGTTTGTCCCACCAATTTTCACATTAATATTTTGTGTTGAGTATTTTAGTTTGTTGTCACAGAGCGCTACACTTATTGTTTCCAGATTGATATTCTGTTATGACTATAAAGAAATCTCATTTTTGGATCTATAAGTTTCCATTAAACATTAGTTAACTAATAGGACATTTAGAAAAGAAACCACAGAAAAATACTCTGCTACATGCGGATAGCCACCACCCCAAGTCTCTAAAACAAGGTATACTAGTGGGTCAGTTCCTCCAAATACAGAGAAACTGGTTTTTGTTGCACAATCCATGTTTAAACATTGAGGTGTCAAAAATGTACAGAGATTCAGGGAAAGGGGCTATCCGCATAGAGTATTGAGGAAAGCTAGGAAAAGAGCTTTGTAGATTGAAAAAAAAAAAAAAAAAAAAAAAAAAAAAAGACCTCTTAAAGACTAAGGACTAAGGAGATAAAAAACAAAGGAATATGTACAGTGCTTTGAAAAAGTAGTCATACCCCTTGAAATTTTCCACATTTTGTCATGTTACAAGCAAAAACGTAAATGTATTTTATTGGGATTTTATGTGATAGACCAACACAAAGTGGCACAAAATTGTGAAGTGGAAGGAAAATAAATGGTTTTCAACATTTTTTACAACTAAATATGTGAAAAGTGTTGCATGCATTTGTATTCATCCCCCCTGAGTCAATACTTTGTAGAACACACCTTTCCCTGCAATTACAGCTGCAAGTCTTTATGTTTCTACCAGCTTTGCACATCTAGAGAATGAAAATTTTGCCCACTGTTCTTTGCAAAATAGCTCAAGCTGTGTCAGATTGGATGGAGAGCGTCTGTGAACAGCAATTTTCAAGTCTTGCCATAGATTCACAATTGGATTTAGGTCTATACTTTAACTGGGCCATTCTAACATATGAATATGCTTTGATCTAAACCATTCCATTGTAGCTCTGGCTGTATTTTAGGGTCGTTTTACTGCTGGAAGGTGAACCTCCACCCCAGTCTCAAGTCTTTTGCAGACTCTAACAGGTTCTAAGATTGACCTCTATTTGGCTCCAACCATCTTCCTATCAACTCTGACCAGCTTCCCTGTTCCTGCTGAAGAAAAGAATCCCCACAATATGATGCTGCCACCACCATGTTTCACAGTGGGGATGGTGTGTTCAGGGTGATGTGCAGTGTTAATTTTCCGCCACACAGTTTTGTTTTTAGGCCAAAAAGTTCAATTTTGGTCTCATCTGACCAGAGCACCTTCTTCCACGTTTGCCGTGTCCTCCGCATGGCTTCTCACAAGGGACTTCCTATGGCTCTTTTTGCCACTCTTCCAAAAAGGCCAGATTTGTGGAGTGAACGATTAAATAGCTGTCCTGTGGACAGATTCTCCCACCTGAGCTGTGGATCTCTGCAGCTCCTCCAGTTACCAGGAACCCTGCCCTGCCCTCGCCGCCGCCCGCCCGGTAGTTCAGACTTACCTGAGAAACCATCGATATCGGAGATGAGTGAAGGAAAGATGGCCGCCACACATCTTTATGCCCTTGGAGGACCGGAGCAATGTCACTCCCCGTTCTGTCCATTTTTTTTTTTTTTTTTTAAAGCACTAGATCAATGCTTTTGTTTTGATCCAATGCTTTACATTGCAGAGGAGAGATATGGGGTCTTATTGACCCCATATCTCCCCATAAAGAGGACCTGTCACTAATTATTTCTATCACAAGGGATGTATGCATTTCTTTTAAAAATAAAAAATTAAAATTTTTTAAAGGAACAGTGCAAAAAACAAAATTAAAAAAAAAAAACACATTTAAAAAAAAAAAAAAAAGTTGTGCCTCCGTGTGAACGCATACATAGGCCGTGCCCACATATGTAAATAGTGTTCAAACCACACATGTGAGGTATCGCCACGATACTGCAGTTTCACGCCATTCCACGAGCGTGCAATTTTAAAGCGTGACATGTTGGGTATTAATTTACTCGCCGTAACATCCTCTTTCATATCTTACAAAAAAAATTGGGGTATAGTTTTTTTTTAAATTAAAGTATATTTTTTTCCAAAAAATATATATTCATTTTTAAAAACTGCGCATTTCGGTTTCAGTTTTTGGCAAAGTGCATTTTGAGTTTTCTGCACCAGAATTTTCATTTCGGTGCAACACTACTGCTCTCCTAAAACTCAGAAACTACTTACTAACGGCTAAAACCAATGGCCACTATTCCATACTCTTAGACCTCTCCGCTGCCTTTGACACAGTTGACCACCCCCTCCTCAAAAGAAAACCCTATTTACTTGGTCTCTGTGACTACTCTCCCTTGGTTTGAACCTTACCTATCTCACCACACCTTCAGTGTCACTTAAAATTCTACTTCCTCCTCTCCAACTCCTCTGTCGGGGTCCCCAAGGGTCTGTCCTTGGACCTCTCCTATTCTCGATCTACACTTTTTCCTTGGGTCAGCCGATAGATTTGTGTTATCACCATAAAAATTGTACTGGAAACCATGGGAAGCCATCTATCTACTCCTCAGCTCACCTCATCAGTTTCCTCACGTATCACCGATTTACTATCAGACCGCATGTCACACCACTTCCTAAAACTCAATCTATACAAAACTGAGCTGATATTTCCTTCCCCTGATTTCTCGGTCAGGATCAATAGCACCACTATCAACCCATCCCCGCATGCCAGGATGCTAGGGGTAACCCTGTATTCTGAACTATCCTTTTAGGCCCACATCCAATCCCTGTCCGAATCATGCCGCCTCAACCTCTGCAATATCTCCAGAATACACCCCTTTTTAACCCAATGATACCACAAAGCTCCTAATTCCCTCCCTGGTTATCGCTTGCCTCGACTATACTGCAACTCCCTCCTTATTGGCTTATCATTACATAGGCTATCCCCCCTCCAGTCCATCATGAATACAGCTGCCAGGCTCATCCACCTTAACAATTATTGTGTCTGCTACCCCTCTCTGCCAATATCTCCACTGGCTTCCACTCGCCCAACGAATAAAATTCAGAATGTGAACAAAAACTTACAAAGCCATCCACAACTCTGCCCCCAGCAACATCACCAATCTGATCTCAAAATATCAACCAAATCGCTCTCTTTGATCCTCCCAAGACCTTCTGCTCTCTAGTTCCCATGTCACCTTCGCCCATGCTCACCTCCAGGACTTCTCCAGAGTTTCTCCCATCCTATGGAACTCCCTACCCCAAGCTGTATGGCTACCTTCTAATCTATCCACCTTTGGATCCCAATCCCTGAAAACCTTGCTCTTTAACTTTGCTTTTAACTAATAAACTGCCTTTTATTTCCTCTATCAGCTCATTCCCCACAGCTATTACCTTTTATAATCACTCAACCCTTCCTCCTAGATTGTAAGCTCTAACGAGCAGGGCCCTCGGTTTCCTCTTGTGCCAAATTGTATTGCAACTGTAATGTCTACCTTCATTTTGTAAAGCGCTGCATAAACTGTTGGCGCTATATAAATTCTGCATAATAATAATTCTCAAAACTTTTGGCCAGGGCTGTAGAAACAGACATGACACATTACAAACATTTTGGGTATTATTTGTAACTTGCGCTTATTCTGAGACATTTCGCAACGCAAATGTTTTTATACATAGACCCTTTAGTTTCTACTCTTCAGCCATATGCTAACTTTTATATGCATAATATTTGTTACAGGTTTACTTTTAAAAGAGGGAGGTGTATGTGGTTTTACATATTTAACACAAGCTACTTGCCTCTTCAGGCTTTGCAGCAGGCTGTGATTCTATTTTCTTCTCCTCCTCCTTTACACTTTTATCTTCTTCCATAAGTTGTTTAGACTCTTAAAGAAAGAGAGAAAAAAAAAGAAAAAAAAGAAATTACAAATCACAACTCTATGGGTTACACATTTCATTTATATGTGGTCCACTAGAAAAATTCTGTAAAAAAGGCAAACAATGCTTACCAAATACTGTGTAAAAAATAAATGGAGTTTAATTGTATTTCTTCGTAGTCATGATTTAACACCTTGGTTTTCAGGAGTGGCTTTAAAACTGAATTCAAGTCCAAAGACCCCTTGTGTTTAGGTGTCAGCCACCCGCAGATCGCAATCTAACCATAGATCGTGCCCAGGTAACTGATAGAACGTGGTCTGGGTTTGCTGACCCACCACCCCAGGAGTCTCAAACAGAGTGCAATGGAGAGGAACTACTTGTAAATGTAGAGCTGTAGTAGGGAGCATTTTGTGATCCCAAAATGGCTGCAATGGCCTCTCACCTCCACCTCGCGACCCTGCAGGGCCACAAAGCCATATATGGATCACCTCTGGATTCCCTCAGCATAAAGCCCTCCTTCTGGCCTGGTAGCTTGAGCGAATTCTCTGGAATCAACTGTCACCGCTGAGATCTATCCCTCTGGACCGGTTGGTATGTAGATCAATAAGTATCCTTATATAGATCAAAGCACGGAAACTGCAGCACAGTGCTTTATGCTGAGGGGATCCAAAGGTGATCCATATACGCTTTGTGGCCCTGCAGGGTCACGAGGTGGAGGTGAGAGGCCATTGTAGCCATTTTGGGATCACATTCAGGGTGTGCTGTGTACCCACATTTTACATCTTGCATGATTAGAAGGAATGCAGCACCGATTATTGGACTTAGTGTAAAACCAGATGATAAACATGACGTAATAAAGATCTGTGCAATGAGTGTATGAATTTGATCCCTCTATAGGGATTCACCTAATATTGGATTGCGTCCCATGTTGAGTACCAAGGGTCACATTTTTTATGCATCCCCATGTGGATTGGGGTCACTATTCTATATATAAGTCACTATAATTGGTCCATCTATAGGACCTTGTATGTGTTGATCACCTTGTGGTCACTTATTAATATTGAAATTATTAATATTTATATTATTGTATAAGCGCTACATCAATTATATTTTATTTTTAGCACAGCACGAGTTATACTCTGTCATGGTTGGTTGGTGTAGCACCTGCCAAGCATAACCCAATCTTGTGCAGTGTACCCTCTACCTCCTTTAACCCCTTGGACACTGCAAAGGCATGCAGCTGAGCAGCGCTTGCAGAGTGGCCCCATTAACTTGAATGGGTCAGGCTCATGTCTGAGCAAACTTCAGGTTTTTTTGATCAGACTGGTGATCGGAGGGGTGGCCAGTGTGAGAGTTCTTTTTCCTTATTGATGACCGTGTGGGAGGGGTAACTTCGATACCATCAACGCTCTGATATAGGAGATAAGAGGAGGAGAGTCCCACCATTACTTCCCGAGGGACCCACCATCTGAAGGATTTATCCCAAGACCCACCATATACCAAAAGGCTCATTGGTCCCTAGGGGCCTGGGCAGGAAGGTGAGGGGGCACTTCACCTATTTGAGGATTGGCACCTACAGTTTACACCTGCATGATATCTTATGCACATGGACACTATTTACTGCATTATGTTTGTAGTCACTATAGTGCATGAATAAGTTGCTTGAGATTATGTCACCACCAGCCCATTATTGCATATAAGTGGTACGGCTGTGCGGGTCACCTTAATATTTATATATGCAATTTGATATAATATATTTCACTTTGGTTTGAGCGCTGCACTGTTTTATATTTTTATTTTTCTTGGTTTAAAATAGAACCATAGGCAAAAGTTTTTTTCCATTTTTGGTAGAGCAAGAGATTGCTATAACCACTGTAAGACCTGCAAATTAAGGAAATACCTTGGGGACCCCCAGGTCACCCGTTGGAAGATTTTCCATCTATTACTTTTCTGGGGACAGCCCGAAATTTAGGTTTTTCTTTTGCTTTCAACGATAATGGTAAACGACATTTAAAGAGTGTGAATCTCCCTAATGGAGGCACAGACAGCAATTAAAAAAAAAACCTAATAGGTGTTCTAATCCATCTCCACTCTATCCAAAACTAAAAGTTTTGCCTTTAGTTATACTTGAAAACTTGCTGCAGGATGCGTAAACTTTTGGCTGCTGTCTTTGCAGCTAAAGGGGGCAGGGATTGGGAGAAGTAAAAACCGCAATTAAACTGCAGGGTATTACCAACCTACAACTTTGTGTAAATGGGCCCTAAGGGTACTGCTGCTGAATGCAGCTAAGGGCTCATTCACAAGTCCAGCAGGCACTGCTACTCCCCAGACGTGATCCAAGTGTATTGACAGGTGGTTCGTATGTAATTTGTTGCCTCTTCACTGCCTGATTTCAACCCATGATTGCTGTGCAATGCACACGATTGCGACATGGTAGTATGGCAATTAAAGTTTTAAATCAGGTGTGAGGAGGAGACACTGTGTCCGGTGATCTTTGACTTCTCCCATGTTATTCAGGAAGATCGCCACCTCTTTAACCCCTTCGCTCTGGCGCCTATTGGCCCTTTAAGAGTTTCAGAAGCCGGGGAGCAGGGTTTAGGGTTATGTGACCGCCGTGACGCGCCGTCACATGATCGGGAAAGGTCCCAATCGAAAGAGATCGGGATCTTTCCGTGAGTACTGGACATGTGTGCTGTGAGCACGCAGGGCGTGCGCTCTTGGCACATATGTCCTTTTTTTATTAGAACGCAAATGTGCGGCCGCTCGGCATCTAGGCCCAGACACCAGGAGGCCGCACATTTGTGGTTGGCCGGCGTGAAGAGGTTAAGTTTGCCTACCCCTAGCCTAAGCAATAAGGATGACGCATTAAAATGCTTGTTTTGTTAGGAGTAGGGTTAGGTCAGATTTGTAGATTAGGAATAGCTCTAATTTTATTAGATCTTGGGATTCTTTCAAATCAAATAGTAAATGCAAGAAGAGATGATAAAAAGAGTCCACTGAATAAAACAAGCAATATGAAACATAATGGTCTGTGAATTTAAGTAATTTAGGATCGACGGCTTAACAACCTGTCCCCACGTGTCAAGGTGCTAAGTGTAACCCTGGACTCTAAACAAGTCTTTCGGCACCACAGCCAATGTCTAAAGCATGCTGCCTCAATCTCCACATCGATAAAATACGCCTCTTCCTAACCAATGACACCACAAAGCTCCTCGTTCATTACCTGTCATCTCTCACCTCGACTACTGCAACTCCCTCCTCACTGGATTACCTTTACATAGGCTATCCCCCCTTCAGACCATCATGAATGCTGTTGCCAAACTCACCTATCTCAGTGTCTATCCGTCTCTGCCAATCACTCCATTGACTTCTGCTTTCCCACCGAATTTAATTCAAAATACTAACAACTTACAAAGCCATCCACAACTCTGCCCCCACCTACATCATTAACGTAGTCTCAAAATACCAACCTAAAAAAAAAACCACACGATCTCTTCATTCCTCCCAAGTACTACTACTCTCGTCACCTTCTCCTATGCTTGCCTCCGGGACTGCTCTCGAGTCTCTCCCATCCTCTGGAACTCCCTACTGCAATCTGTCCAACTCTTTTCTGCTCTGTTTACTTTTTGATGGTCCCAGAAAGTACTTCTCTTTAGAGAGGTCTAAACTGCCCTCACCTAAGAACTGTACTTTTATTTTCTACATCAGTTCTTCCCCCACAGTTATTACCTTTTGTATCTCTAAACCCTCCCTCTTAGATTGTAAGCTCTAATGAGCAAGGCACAATTAAATTGTACGGTCTGCCCTTATGTTGCAAAGTACTGCAAAAACTGTTGTGCTATAAAATCCTGTATAATAATAATAATAATTCTGTTTTATTATGGGAGAGTGATATATTCACGTTCCATTTTTGTACTAACCTTTATGTTCATCAAGATTTTTGCTCTTGTTTGGACTTTCCGCCTCAGTATTTTGTGCATCTTCTCCTGTACCTGAGCATTCATAGTATTTTCTGCATCTTCTAAAACCTGTACCTGAGCATTTATAATAAACAAACAATTATAGTTAAAAAAAAAAATGTAATGCAAGGAAATCAACTGAAAAATCATAAAAAACTAAGCTAAGTCCCTTGTTACAACCATTGGGTTTAATTTAACCGCTTCCCTTCTGCCTTATAACAGAAGTACTGCTACAGGGTGGCGCAGTTGCGCAAAATCACACACACACACACACATATACACACAACACACATACAAATATATACATATACATATACACACATGACTTTGCATTTCCAGGTTGAGGGCATGAGAACTCTGTTAGTAAACAAAACAGTTCTCTTCCCTATCAGCTACGACACACTGCTTTACAGAGAAGCACACAGACACAGCCCAAAGTAAAAACGCACACAACACACAGTTAACCCTTTGATCGCTCCTCATGTTAACCCCTTCCTGTCCAGCGCCATTAGTAGTGTCAGTGCTTTTTAATAGCACTGATCACTGTATTGGTGTCACTGGGGATGTCAGTGACACCAGGTCAGTTTCCCCCCCCCCCCCCCCCCAGTGTCAGTATGCCCACCGAAGTCCCCGCAGTCACTGATCACCGCCATTACTAGTAAAAATACAAAGAAAAAAAAAATCCCAGTATATATACACACAGCCATTTTTAAATGCTATAACTTTCACGTAAACTAATTTACAAGTATTGGGATTTTTTTTAGCAAAGACATGTAGCACAATACATTTTGGACTACAGTTATGATGAAATGTGATTTTTACTAGACATGTTTAATAGCAAATGTCAAAAATATTTTTTTTTTTCCCTCAAAATTGTCGCCTTTTTTTTTTATAGCCCAAAAATAAAATTAAAAAAAAAAAAAAAAAAAAAAAAAATCACAGGCGATCAAATACCACCGAAAGAAAGCTCTATTCATGGGGGGGGGGGGGGGGGAGGAGGATTTAATTTGAGTGCAGCGTTACATGACCGCGCAATTGTCAAAGTAACGCAGCGTCATAACGAAAAAAAAATGGCCTGGTCAGGAAGGGGGGCAAATACTCTGGAGGGAAAGTGGTTAATGGGGCAACATGTGTTTACAACCCACAGTAACGGATGAGAAATCCTATTTCAACTCTGATCAAAAACCTGAAAATGGAGGTTGCTACAGTAAACTTCATGAACAAACCACACAACTTACAGGTGAAACTCGAAAAATTAGAATATGGTGCAAAAGTTCATTTATTTCAGTAATGCAACCTAAAAGGTGAAACTAATATACGAGATAGACTCATTACATGCAAAGCAAGATAGTTCAAGCCGTGATTTGTCATAATTGTGATGATTATGGCTTACAGCTCATGAAAACCCCAAATCCACAATCTCAGAAAATTAGAATATTACATGCAAATCAATAAAATAAGGATTGTACATAGAACAATATCGGACCTCTGAAAAGTATAAGCATGCATATGTACTCAGTACTTGGTTTGGGCCCCTTTTGCAGCAATTACTGCCTCAATGCTGAGGTGTTATGGAAGACCAGGATGCTTCAATAGCGGCCTTCAGCTCTTCTGCATTGTTCGGTCTCATGTCTCTCATCTTTCTCTTGGCAATGCCCCATAGATTCTCTATGGGGTTCAGGTCATGCGAGTTTGCAGGCCAATCAAGCACAGTAATCCAACGGTCATTGAACCAGGTTTTGGTGCTTTTGGCAGTGTGGGCAGGTGCCAAGTCCTGCTGGAAAATGAAGTCAGAATCCCCATAAAGCTCATGTGCGGAAGGAAGCATGAAGTGCTCCAAAATCTCCTGATAGATGGCTGCGTTGACCCTGGACTTAATGAAGCACAGTGGACCAACACCAACAGATGACATGGCTCCCCAAATCAACAGACTATGGAAACTTCACACTGGACTTCAAGCATCTTGCAGTGTGTGCCTCTCCATTCTTCCTCCATACTCTGGGTCCTTGGTTTCCAAATGAGATGCAAAAGTTGCTCTCATCAGAAAAGAGGACTTTGGACCACTGAGCAATAGACCAAGTCTGTTTTTCTTTAGCCCAGGTAACACGCTTCTGACGTTGTTGTTCAGGAGCAGCTTGACAAGAGGAATACATGTGAAGCCCGTGTCCAGGATCTGTCTGTGTGTGGTGGCTCTTGATGCACTGACTCCAGCCTCAGTCCACTCCTTGTGAAAGTCCAACACTTTTGAATGGCCTTTTCCTGACAATCCTCTCCAGGCTGCGGTCATCCCTGCTGCTTGTGCACCTTTTTCTTGCACACTTTTCCCTTCCACATAACTTTCTATTAATGTGCTTTGATACAGCACTTTGGGAACATTCAGCTTCTTTTGCAATTACCTTTTGAGTCTTTCCCTCCTTATGGAGGGTGTCAATGATGGTTTTCTGCACAACTGTCAGGTCAGCAGTCTTTCCCATGATTGTGATTCCTACTGAACCAGACTGAGAGACCATTTAAAGCAGCGGTTCTCAACCTGGGGGTCGCGACCCCTTTGGGGGTCGAACGACCATTTCCCAGGGGTCGCCTAAGACCATCGGAAAACACATATTTCCGATGGTCTTAGGAACCGAGACACCGCTGCTGTCTCCGGCGATGTGTGGGCGGGATGATATGCTGCCCCTGTCACCGCCTCCTCGCCGCTGATTGGCCACCGGAACTGTAGCTCAGGAGAGGCACACAGGCGGCCAATCACCGGCGAGAAGGTGGAGCTTGGAGAGGAGGAGCCGAGCGGCAGCGCGCGGAGATCGAAGAAGATCGAGGGAGCTGCAGGAGCGAGTGAAGAGAGAGGCCAGAGAAAGAAGACAGCTGACAGGTAAGTGCAAATTTTTGCTGCTGCAGCCAGGTATGCAGGCTGTAGATGGGAGAGGGAGAGAGCGAGCCCAGGCTGGAGCAGGGGTCAGCGAGGTAAGTATCATTGGTGTCAGTGGAAGGGATAGTGCCCCATCATTTGTGTCACTAATACCAACGATGGGGCACTATTCCTCCCCCCACTGCCACCAACGATGGGGCACTATTCCTCCCCCCACTGCCACCAACGATGGGGCACTATTCCTCCCCCCACTCCACCAACTGGGGCACTATTCCTCCCCCCACCAACGATGGGGCACTATTCCTACCCCCCACCAACGATGGGGCACTATTCCTACCCCCACTGACACCAACGATGGGGCACTATTCCTCCCCCCACTGACACCAACGATGGGGCACTATTCCCTCCCCCACTGACACCAACGATGGGGCACTATTCCTCCCCCCACTGACACCAACGATGGGGCACTATTCCTCCCCCCACTGACACCAACGATGGGGCACTATTCCTCCCCCCACTGACACCAACGATGGGGCACTATTCCTCCCCCCACTGACCCCAACGATGGGGCACTATTCCTCCCCCCACTGACCCAACGATGGGGCACTATTCCTCCCCCCACTGACACCAACGATGGGGCACTATTCCTCCCCCCACTGACGCCAACGATGGGGCACTATTCCTCCCACTGACGCCAACGATGGGGCACTATTCCTCCCACTGACGCCAACGATGGGGCACTATTCCTCCCACTGATACCAATGATGGGGCACTATTCCTCCCACTCATACCAATGATGGGGCACTATTCCTCCCACTCATACCAATGATGGGGCACTATTCCTCCCACTCATACCAATGATGGGGCACTATTCCTCCCACTCATACCAATGATGGGGCACTATTCCTTCCACTGACACCAATGATGGGGCACTATTCCTCCCACTCATACCAATGATGGGGCACTATTCCTTCCACTGATACTAATGATGGGGCACTATTCCTCCCACTGACACCAATGATGGGGCACTATTCCTCCCACTGACACCAATGATGGGGCACTATTCCTCCCACTGACACCAATGATGGGGCACTATTCCTCCCACTGACACCAATGATGGGGCACTATTCCTCCCACTGACCCACTATTCCTCCCATGACACCAATGATGGGGCACTATTCCTCCCACTCATACCAATGATGGGGCACTATTCCTCCCACTGACACCAATGATGGGGCACTATTCCTCCCACTGACACCAATGATGGGGACACTATTCCTCCCACTGACACCAATGATGGGACACTATTCCTCCCACTGACACCAATGATGGGGCACTATTCATCCCACTGACATCAGTGATGGGGCGCTAGTCCTCCCACTGCAAAATTACAGTTATGAAGTAGCAACGAAAATAATTTTATGGTTGGGGGTCACCACAACATGAGGAACTGTATTAAGGGGTCGTGGCATTAGAAAGGTTGAGAACCACTGATTTAAAGGCTCAGAAACCCTTTGCAGGTGTTATGGCTTAATTAGCTGACTAGAGTGGGACACTTTGAGCCTAGAATATTGCACCTTTTCACAATTTTTTCTGAGACTGTGGATTTGGGGTTTTCATGAGCTGCAAGCCATAATCATCACAATTATGACAAATCACGGCTTGAACTATCTTGCTTTGCATGTAATGAGTCTATCTCATAAATTAGTTTCACCTTTTAAGTTGCATTACTGAAATAAATGAACTTTTGCACGATATTCTAATTTTTCGAGTTTCGCCTGTATATATCACTCCACTGCATGAAAATGCTCAACAATTAGCGGACAAATACAGAGTATTTAAAATATTCAAAAAGTATTAAAGCAATCAGGAAACAGTGAATATATCCTATTGGTTTTGTGTGTTAGGGTTTCCAAGACAACACAATGGCATTTCACTGCAGTAGGCCTAACAGGTATATTATAGGTTTTCTTTTCTGTTCAGTGTAGAATAAGCACCAATATATCTAACAAAAAATAGGAATTTTGACTTGACTGTAAATTCCATTTCTTGTAGTACAGTACAGGACTTCAAAGACAATGGGTTGTATGCCACTACCTTCAAGTGACTGGACATTGGCAAAAGCTTTTCTGAGAGCACCCTAAAAACCCCACCCACTATGTGGAACTCCAGATTTGTAGCAAGAAACAAGTACAGAGGACAGAAGGGAGGTACCAGTGTCCTGTAAAAACAAAAAAACAAGGGTTGATAGACCTGAAGCACTCAGATGAAAGCTTGTCATCTTGTCCATTTTTGGGACCATCAGAGTAGTTAGGCAGACCCCAACTGCTCTGACGACATGCAGGAAGTCCAATCTCCTTGGTGCATTTTGGGGCAGAACAGAGGGAAAAGGAGGTTAATATCCTCATGGAGGCGAAAGGAAGAGACCACCTTCGGAAGGCATGAGGGTCTGGGTCTTAGGACGACCTTGTCTGTAGGACAAGAGGCTCCTTCCAGAAAAATCCCCCAACTTAGAACCAATTTGGGATAGCTCATTGGGGAATCTCCCCAGTAAGGTGGCCATGAGCGCTGTTCGACGTGTCTCAAAGGTCTTTGAAGAGCCAAAAGCGCCAGATTAAAATGCCAAAGAGACACGGGAGGCCAGAAATACAAGCTCATGTATCCCATAAAACTATACAGCATCAACCTATACATGTCTTATTCTCTCCAACCGTAAGATGCATATATGACCCAGATGATGAAAATAAAAATAAAAAAAAACTGTATGGTGTTGAATAAGAGATAAAAAGATATAACATAATTTAATGATAATAATGAAAAATTAATGAACATATCATGAAACAGGGGTGATTGGGCTTGCTTACCCGTTGCTCTGATGCAGGAGAAATTTGTGCAGTGTCCATGTTTGGCCTCTTGCTGAATGCGGTTGTTCCCATACTGCATGTACACCCATCAATCCCCAAACTGCAATCCGAGCATCCTGCCACAAGATGCACCCTCCAAAAGCGGGTTCATCTCCCCGAACCCATTTGGACTTAGCAACGAGCCCCAGAAGGGGGCCCGACCGCCCCAATACATCCATCCATTGATGCGCTCCAGCTTGGAACACATTTGTGTCTCAAGGGACGCAGAAGGATGGTGCATTCTGGGGTGGAACGCAAGTGTGTTCCAAGAGCTGGTCCACTGCTAATTTGGGTCCCTAGTGGCTGGAGGTGGAAGTGACACGCAGTGTGTAAATGTCTATATAGAACAGGTTCCTGAGGCCACAGTGATACAAGACTATAGTAATGGGCCATCTCGTGGTGGCACATGTTACATCATGACGACCTAATGCTTTCAAAAAGATGTGACTATTGTAAAATAAGATGAAATAAAAATAGAAAATAATGAATAATAGAGAAGAATAATAAATGAAATATCACCAATCCTATGAATGAATTTAAAGATAATAAAATATGATCTCTGTGGTCATTCCATGCAACTCACGGTGGGCAAGACTAATATAAAATTAGCAAACACATGAAAAAAATAATAAAAAATAAATATATATACACACACACAACCACTTCATTAATAGGATAAAACAGGAAGGCCCAATGTGACTTAAGTTATACTAAAACTAGTACTCTTTGAAATTCTAATACAGAAAGTAGTGTCCTATTTAGATAGTATACTGTCACTTCAATGGGGTATGAGGAGATTATGAAAGAATGGGTTACAATACAATAAGAACAATATGTGGAACTCATAAGGCCATACTGTGTAAAAACAAATGGACATAAAAAGCATTTCCGTGTAATACGATGCTGTAGTGAATTAAAAAAAAAAAAAATATATGCTATGTATAGGAAACTAGGTGCCATAACGACATAAAAAGTGCAGTGTGACCTGAGGCACCAGTATAACACACACACACAGGCACGCGCTAGTAGAAATAAGAAAAATTGGAAACATGAATACACCTACAAAGGACCAAAAACGGCCCACAATGTAGGAGATAAAGTTGCAGCTACCTTGTCTGCCTTGTTCATCACTCTAAATGGAGATAAAGGATGGTAGTCGGTGTCATCCAAACATACCAGAAAAAAAAAAAATTAAAAGTTATAGGTTGAAACTTAAACACATAGAAAAGAGTAGCCCACACTGAAGAGTGGACTATACATGTCCCACTAAAGCCCCATGGATCTCCAGATCTTGAGACTTCTAGGAGCAAGGGACCCTAAGGTGAATAGCCAGTACGTTTCTCTTGCACATGATATCTGGAATTTTCTACCACCATCATCATCAGCTGATTCAATACTCTCATATCTATGGGGTCACTGCTGTGTTTTTCTTGGAAATGTCTGGGAACGGAGTATGTGTCTCTTTTGTTCTCTTTCTTACTGATATTTATAATGCACTGTGGATTGGACTGTGCTCTTTCCATGCGATGAGCTTGTATATTTGTAGAATACTTACCTTTCTACACAATAAATCCATATTTTAAGGATAATGCACTAGGCCAGTGCGCCACCCGTTTTGTTTATTATTGCAGTATGATCCATTGTGTCCTGAATACCAGTTCTGCATCTTATAGTGTACAAGATAAAGGTTTTGCTAAACTCACAAAAGCACTTAAAACATGCCTGAATTCTGCAGGCAGGACGGGAAAGAACAATTAGTCAACATCATGTTATAGTGAATAAATTTCCAAGAGCTCAGCATCAGAGCATTCAATGTACTAAAAGCAGGAAACAGTGGACTGGGTACCCAACCCCTATTATATAGTACACATGGAAAACCTCAATGGTCCAAACAAAAAAAGAGGGACACTGATACTTTACTTCATAGGTGACATTTTATCTGGCAATTATTTTTTGCCCCAAGCTTGTTCGAGTTTTCAGAATAAGTTTAGGATCATTTTACTTTCTGAACAAACAAGGGCGCTTTCACACTGATGCCCTTTTGATGTATTCCCATTGACTTACAGTGGAATATTTCCTTTAGGTGTAGTTTAGAAAAACTGCACCAAAAGATGCAGCATGCAGAACTTTTCAAAGCACAGTGCACCTGCAGTGTGAACCGTTACATTCGATTTAATGGGAAATATTTTTCATGTGCTTTTGTCACCCAGGAAAAGAGTGAAAAAAGTACAACAAATGTGAAAAGGGTCTAAAGCTTCAGAATAAATGTGAGATATGATCACTAATACCAGAACCTAGACAGAAAAAAGGGGGGAAAAATAAAAAATAAACCAAAAAAGCAAACTTACATGAACCTCAAATTCAGGCTGAGATTTTTCAACTTGCAGGGCACATTCTGAAATAACAAATATTATGCATTTTACCCATACATAAAAAAGCACCCAACCTTAGTTTTAAACACAATGGAAATTTTACAGTATAAGTTAGCAAAGTGTAGAAAAGTGACTAACCTTTATCGGAGTTAGGGATGCCATCTTCAGCGGCATTACATGAGGTAGCACTTTGTGTTTCTTCAGCTTGTTTAAAACTCACATCTGAACTTCTTGATTTACCTGCAGGATTATCATGATCAACACTTGATGGATCATAAATGTCTGAAGTTCTTTCGGATTCAGATTCTGAAGGAATGTTTTCACCAACATTATCTTTATCTAGTATATCAGCTGTGTCTTCCACTGTAAGAGTGATGTCAGTGTGGTCTTTTGAAGGTGTTTGTTCTTTGCTTGCTGTACTCTAAATTGTCTTCTGATGGAACGTTCTGCAAGAAATCACCAACTGACGGTGTCAAGCTTTCTACACATGACTGATTTGCCACTTCAGACTGTGAAGATCCACTATTTAAATCTGAGTCAAGCAAAGCTTCATTGCTTTGCACTGCACCAACTTGAGATGACTCGGAAATATCTGAACTTGAAAATTCTTGAGTCTCAGGTTTGTTTTCTTTCTCTAAATCAGAATTTTGGGTTGTAAGAGATAAACCATCTTTGGGCACCAAAATATTTTTGCCTGAAGGAGAAGGCATGCTTTCTTCTTCTCTCACATGAGAAATGTTATCCTCTAGAAGTTCTGGTGTTGCAGTGAAGCTTGTAACACATTCAAGAATTTCTGAGTTTAATTCCTCCACTTCCTCAGCTGTTTCTTCATCTGCGTTTGCCATGCTTTCTTTCGGTTTTTCGGCAGAATGTACCATAGTAGAAGAGCTGTGTTCCACAGTGTTTGAAAATGAAGAATCCTCACCTGGTGTCCCAGAACTCGTAACAAATCCTTCACCCTCTTCCTCATCTTCTTTAGCACCAGTGCTTGTGATAGCACTTTCATCATCTTCTGTAATGACTCTAGGGCCAAGGTTTTCAGCTATGTTCATACTGCCACTTTCATTTGTCTCTGTCTCTTCAGAACATGCAACTTCATCTTGTTCTTGTAACACTTTATCACCATAGCTTTCTTCAGTTATACCTGTACTCGTAACAGCCCCTTCACCTTCTTCTGTTATTGACTGACTAGTCTGAGCAACTTCATTTTCTGTACCTAGATCTGCAATAATTTCATAAGGTGCATTTTCGACAGATACATCCTCAGATTCTTCAGCCGCTTTGTTGTCTGCAGAGGCTTCAGACACCTGATCATCATTGAAATCTTGATCACTTGCATGGGAAACAGACGCTTCCTCAATAGCAACGTTAACTGCCACATTGCTGACATCAACATTCATGACTTCTTTATCTGCAAAGGTGACATGATCAGAGGCTTCAGAATTTTCTCTGCTCACAGATGACTCTCGTGCATCTGTACCAGCACTGGTGACAGTGCTATCAGTTTCTCCATCCCCAAGCTCTCTTGTGGCCTGTCTAGATGCATTGCCAACAAATCTTTGTTCTTCAGAACTGGCACTACTGACAGTGTCCTCTTTTTCATCATTGTTTTCATAACTTACTGAAATTGTTCCATCACTGGCATTCATTTCAACATGTCCATCATCATCCTCATCTGCGTGTAAAGGAGCAACAGCTTCTTGTAATGTACCAGAAATAGCAATATTACTATGGTTAGCAACAAAACTTGACTCAGCAGCCATCTCTATAGATCTAGAACTGCTTTCGTTGCTATGACTTTCATGAATGCCACTAATAACTAGTTCATTATTCCTTTCAATGCTGGATGAGGTTGTGGCATCATCGACCACTGGTATTTTAACAGATGCATCGGTGACAATATCTTGGACCCCCGCCGTCGCAAAAACTTGAAGAACTGGCAGCTTCAATATTCTTTGACAGGCTTAAAGCCTGTCCGACGCCTTCTGTATTGCCATCCATGGTATAATCTGATGATGTTGCATTGTCATCACCCTCGTCCAGTGGTGACCCCACTGTATTGCTTGAACTGGCTGCTGCAGCTTCACTATTAACATCACATCCATCATCCATATCTTTATCTGTGTCCAAATCAATGTTTGTGCCTGTGGATGTTGTGGCATATGGGTTATTGTTGGAAAGAGCATCACATGCCTTGTCATCTTCCATACTGCTGTCCATCATATCGCTTGATGTAGCTGCTTGTTCATTAACTTTATCTGCATAAACAATACCTTCCACATTCTCTTCAGTTCGGTCTACTCCCATTATGCTTGAGGAGGCAGGTCCTCTTTCTTTTGTAATGTGTTCCAGGCAAGCACTGTCCAAAATGTTAGAGGATGTTGCAGTATTTGTTCTGCTACACAAATCTGCAAAACACCCATGTTCAGATCTTCGCCGGTACTGCTGTCCATTGAAACACTTGATGATGCTGTGGGTTGTGTGTTGTGATTTACATCTGTAAAGGTTCCACTGTTAACTGAACTGCTAGATGAAGTTGCTGTAGTATCAGAGCTGTTTCCTGGAGAAGTCCTAAAATACTGCTCGCTAGTACTATTTGTAGCAAAACTTGATGATGCTGTGGCTTCTGTGTTGTCAGAGTTTATTGTGCTTCTAATAAGCCTGTGCTGAGTGTCACTACTTGTAAAGGAGCTTGAAGATGATGCTGCTTCATCACTCACAGTCTGGGTTTGAGGTAAAGATGCCCCACTACTGGAAGAAGCTGCATTGTCTCTCTCCTTTGCCTGTTCCATATATTTAGCATTCCCAGGGCTTTGATCTCCCCTACTGCTGGAACATCCCATGGCATTACCAGAATAAAACTCACTGCTGACTGAAACTGATGCTTCAGTGCTGCTATCCATAGCGAGATCAGATGAATTTCCCGGATATTCTTTTATTGTGCCGGAGGAGATTATGTCCATGCCTGCTTCATTTACACCATCCTGCTGTGTGCTTGAGGTGGCTCGTGTATTCTTACTGTCTTCTACATTACCAAAGTTACTTCTGCAAGCACTTGGAAGGTTACTGGAAGAACTTGCGGCATCTTCACCCTCTCTTTCTAAACCATCTTTAATCCATTCACTGGAATCATCGCCTGTACTGCTATCCATTACATTGCTAGATGATGCCGCAAGGTTTTCATTATCTATTTCAGAGGAAACCAAAGAGCCATCAAAGTTTAATTCTCTACTGCTGTTGATCATGCTGCTTGATGAGGTGGCTGTATGCCTTTCTGAAATCCCATGGCCAAAGTGAATACCTGCTGAAGAGCTTGATGAGGTAGCTGACTGAGCTGCAATATTTCCAGAAATATCAACTGCTCCATCGTTTTCTGAAGAAGTTGCAACATGGCTAACAGTTTCAGCTCTACAAGAGCTAGCACTTTCTGTATTGGCATCAGAAGATGTGGCTGTTTCATCAACATTGTTTAAAATTTCTAACTCAAGATTACTTCCTTCTGCATTGTCAGAAGATGATGCAGCATTTTCGTGGGAGTTTTGTGAAAGTTCTCTATGGGCGCTTGAAGAAGTAGCAGCTTTAAAGGTAATATTACCAATTTTTTCTGGCACTAAATCTGTTGTACTCTGAGAGCAAGTGGCAGTACTTGCTCTCCTTTTTTCTGACAGTAAGGGCTCCAAAAAGCTATCCTCATTGTAATGTTTTCTATCAGAGCTTGAGGAGGTAGCAGTATCTTCAAAACTATTCTCCGATAACATTGCAATGTCTCCATCATCTTCAACAAAATTACCATCTGCAGAAGCCGAGGAGGTGTATTCCCTGCTGTTATCCAGATTTACGCCTTCTATTTCCATGCAAGTATCCTCTGTACTGTTATCAACTGGTGTACTGGAAGATGATGCAGTATCCTCAACACCTTGCCTCAACTCATTTTCGATTAAGAAACTGGAAGAGGTAGCAGTTGCATCATGCTCCGCTTCCGTTCTACTCTCATTGCCCTCTCTAGCGTTAACACCATTAATCTCTTTCTTACTGGGTTTCATAATACTGCTACCAATATTTCTTTCCATACCAGTCACATTACCAAAGCTACTTTGTTCTTCTAGTTCAACTGAAAACATCTCTTTTCTTTCGGTCTCAGAATCTTGTTCCTTAACAGAAACATCTCCTTCAACCTCATTTCCTGTAACAATATCATCAACCTCCAAAATATCCAATGGAGCTGGATTATTGTCACTTTCTTTATTTTCCTCCGAGCATTTTCCTGCTTCTTCTGCTAGGTCACTTGTAGAAATCTCCCCATCATTTGAGTCTGCTACATGAAGATATACTTCCCTGGGAGACACACTGGAATAGTCAATACTATGTGGGGTGGGAGATAATTCCCTTTGTTCCTGAGCAGAACTTTTTGTTGTGCAAGATCCAGCAAGATCATCTCTCTCCCTGTGTGAATTTCTGGCTCTCTTAGAAGGCATTCCTTGATCGGACTCCTCTATAACATCAGCACCATCTTTTGAACTGAAGACAGTCTTTTCATTTTCATCTATGCTGTCAGAAGCTGAAGTATCCGAGTCTTTGACGGAACCAAGATCATGACCAAGTAAAGCAGTAGAAGTATTTTCATATGGACCACTAGATTTGTTGTCCTTGAAATCACTGTTGACATGCTTTGACTTGGATTTTAGGGGCATGGACTTTTTGGAAAAAGGGGTTTCAGCAGCTGATTGAGATTTGCTGTTAGAATGTGTTATTTGTGAGAGATCTGTAACCTTTGCCTCTGCAGACGCTTTCTCATTTCCAGGTTTTTTATTTTCTCTGGGATCTTTAGTCTCAACACATCCTGATTCAGCTGAGAGAACAGTTTCAGTTTCTGACTTTGTGCCTTTCTTTGCACCAGTTTCCTTAAAGCTTTCATTTTTGAACTCTGAGGCAGTTTTTTTAACTATCTTTCTATCTGAGCTACTGCTTCGTTCCGGAGCTTTTTTTTCATCTGGATTCTTTGCAGATCTTTCCTCTGCTCTCCTTCCATCTTCTTTCCGTTTTGCATCTTTATGACTATGCTTTAGGATCAAACTCTTGGCACTTTCCCCAAGTGATTTCTTGTCCAACTTAGAAGATCCATGTTCCTTGCTGTCAAGACGAGACCTTTCCTTTGGTTTATCACTTATATGCTTGGACTTGTGGCTGGTTTCTTTTGCTGTGCTGCTTGAGGCCTGAGAATTATTGTCCCTTCTTTCTCCACTATCTTTATCTTCAGATTTCAGTTTTCTGTACTTTTCACTAGAACTGTCAACTGCAACCCTATCTTTTTCATTTTTATGGTCAGCTTCTTCTTGGTCATTTGGTTTTGACAACTTATTACTACCGCTTTTAAATTTGGCTTTGGCATGGAGCCTTTCATCCAAGGAACCATGTAGTTTTTTCTTGTCTTTGTTTTCCTCTTGTCTGGAGTGATCAGAATTGGCAGAATCAGCCTCATTTTTATCATCTGAAGAATTCTTTGATTTCTTCTGAGAGGAACTGTGTGCCCTTGACACACTTTGAGATTCTCTTTGGTCCCTGGAATCACTTGTTGATCGTTTAGAACGGTGTTCGGATCTGGACTTTTCAGCCGACTGAGATTTGTCTTTTTTACTACTATCGCGTCGAGCACTGTCCTCTTTTTTGCTAGCATGTTCAGATGTCCTTTCATCTTTACTAGATGAAGATGACTTTACGTCACTTTTTTGCTTCCCTTTACGATCAGACCTCTCTTCTGAACTGGATTTACTGTGTTTATGTGAGTGGTCAACTAGGGATGTCTTCTTAGATTTCTGAGAGTCCGACTCATCACTTCCTTGTTTATGTCCATTGTCTGACTTTTGCCTATGCTTAAGGGAAGACCGCTCTTCCTGTTTAGAAGATACCCGCTCCTCCTGTTTGGAAGATGAACGCTCTTCAGGCTTAGAGGATGACCGCTCTTCTGGCCTGGAGGATGTCCGTTCTTCTAGTCTGGTGGCAGAACGATCCTCACGTTCGTTCCTATGAGATTTAGGCTCTTTTCTTGGTGTAACCTTTGCACTCAGTGCATCACTGTCAATACTTTCTTTTTTGAGAGGTTTGTCAGGTTTGTTGGGTGTTCTGGTCTTCTGATGGTCTTCTGAGTTTGAGTCAAATCTCTCTAGTTGCTTTCTAGTATCCTGTGTCCCGGCATCTTGTTGAATTTTTTCTAAAAACAAAGATTTCTTTTTACTCTCTTTTTCGGTTCTGGAGTCACTTTTATTCTCTTCTGCTGGCTCAAGAGACTTTTTTGAGGTTTTGCAATCAGACTTTCCAGATTTATTGTCTTTTGTGGAGGAGGATATTCTATCCTGTGACTAGTAAAGAAAAAAAAAAAAATATTGATACAGGCAATTGTGAGCAACAGATTTACGTATATGCATACACAAACTGTTAATCTTACCGTTCTATATATATATATACACATATATATATATATATATATATATATATATATATATATATATATACACACACACACACACACACACATTATTTGAAAGGAAGACTGCATCATTTAAAGTGAACCTGACCTCAATTTTAAACATTTACAAGAGCAGAAAAAAAAAAAAAAAATATTCCTGTCTAAAATCATGCACCACAAGGTATTTACTTTTACCTACATTAGTTGTAAAACACTGCATTGTGCCCTTCGTTATAATTAATTACTGGACTGACCTACAGGATGAGTCCTGCTCACCTACCAATTCATTTGTCCAATTAAACCTAAGCATCCATTAAGTTAAACCAGTCATAAACCTAGTAAGTGGAAACTGAGCCTATGGAAACAAAACTGCCCAAGCAGAGGATCACTTTCATGAATAAACAGTTTAAATCAAAATAATACGTTGAGCTATGGAGAGTGAGAGCTAAAAATATGCAAATCTCAACCTTTTCTGAAAAATTAAGCTTGCCCTCTCCTTCCTTAGCCATTATAAGGAGTTTTGACAGTGAAAGAGGTGGGTTTTAGCACAACTCTTTCATGAAAAGAAAAAATTTTCATATGATTTCACCTGCCTATATCTTAGGATATACTGACCATTCCTATATGCAGCTTTCACTGACTAACTCCAGATTTTGATTTACTCTTGTGGATCACTCACCTCATTGGACTTTTGGGTATCTCTAGAGTCTTCATCAAAAACATCGTTTCTTATCTTTAAAGAACTAGACATTAAAGGGAGAAATTATCTGTTTAAATAATGGCTATGTTAACATCATTAAAGATGATCTAATTATATAGAAATATTTTGAAATATGATATACAATAGATCTAAATATCCACAACTAATACATGGGAATCAAAACACCCCCTTTTTTTGCACACTTTTAAAAAAATAATTTTAATCCTGAGGATTACATAAAATCCCCAAACATTATACATCTTCTGAAAGCATGCACTCTAGAGAATACAAAAGTGGAAGTTCCATTTTTTTTTTTATGTCATACAATGTTAGCACCACGGTTTAGGAAATTCAAAACTTAAGTAAAAAAAAAACAAAAAAACACAAACACACTAAACTTAGTTTTAGGGCAAAGAAACCTAATTTTTGCAAACTATATAAGATGAGGTTGTGCCAAGTAAATACATAACAAACATGTCAAGCTATAAATATATATGTGCCCCTGTAAAACAGCAACAAACTTCACTATCCAATATAAACAATATAGGGTCTGGGATTAAAAATCCCATTTCAGTCTTTGCAGATGACACCAAGCTGTGCAGTGGAATAACGACCTTACAGGATGTCTCCAATTTACAAGCTGACCTCAATGCACTGTTTAATTGGGCAACTATGTGGCAAATGAGGTTTAATGTTGATAGATTTAAGGTTATGCACCTGGGGGCTACGAATATGCATGCATAATACATACTAGGGGGGGTGCAACTTGGGGAATCAATGGTGGAGAAGGATCTGGGAGTTCTGGTAGCTCACAAGCTTAATGGCATACAATGCCAAGCTGTGGATTCTAAAGCGAGCAAAATCCTTTGTATTAATAGAGATATAGACTCCAGAGAGAGAGATATCATTTTACCCCGGTACAAATCATTAGTAATACCTCATCTGGAATATGCAGTTCAGTTTTGGGCACCGATTCACAAAAAACATTGGGGAACTGGAGAAATTACAAAGAAAGGCAACCAAACTCATAAGAGGTATGGAGGAGCTCAGCTATGAGGAAAGATTAGAGGAACTGAATTTATTCTCTCTTGAGAAGAGATTAAGGGGGGATATGGTCAACATGTATAAATACATCAGTGGTTCATATAGCAAACTCGGTGTAGAGCTATTCACCCTGAGGTCAACACAGAGGACAAGGGGGCACTCTTTACATCTGGAGGAAAAGAAATTTCATCTCCAAACACAAAAAGGTTTCTTCACAGTGAGAGCTGAGAAAATGTGGAAAAGACTCCCTCAAGAGTTGGTTCTGGCCAGCTCGGTGGATTGCTTTAAAAAAAGGCCTGGATTCTTTCTTGGTTACACAGAATATAACTGGTTACTAACATTTATAGGTAAAGCTGATCCAGGGAATATCTGATTGCCTCTCGGGGGATCAGGAAGGAATTTATTTTCCCTGCAGGAGCAAATTGGATCATGCTTTGCTGGGTTTTTTGCCTCTCTCTGGATCAACTGTGGGTATAGGATTATAACTTTTTTTTTTTTTTTTTTTAATGGTTGAACTTTTGTCTTTTTTCAGCCAGACTAACTATGCAACTATGTAATATTTTCCATAAGCGACGCTTTCAAAGCCCCCACTGGTCATACGTTCAGAGTTATCTGTAAATAATAGTCCTACAATTGTTGCTCTCACTATATGCACGGTGGTGTTCAAAATGGTTTCTTTCAGGGACTTTAGATACTTGAGTCTACCTTACTTTTTTTATACTTTTTTTTTTTAGTAAACATTTTGCTTTATCAAATAGGACAAAAAGACCCCAAAAATGATGATTTTATTTGGGGACAGTTTTGCTTTAATGAGAAATAAACACCTGATTTCTCACCTGTCCTCCAATAAAACTAATGCAATTCATTCGTTTTTTTCTCCAGTCGTACTGGCTAGGGAGTGGGACATAGGGACCCGAAGTGATGTTTCACACATTGCTTCAGGGTCAGTAACAGGAAGGGGAGACCAAAGGACAGATGTTTGCTGGTATACCTCCCCTCTACTTGGCGGCACCCACCATGCTTGTCCCAGGTTCGCTAATGGATGTGACACACACACACCTGACAGCCCCCGACATACAATTAAAAGGGTTATCACAACCTTTTTTTTTGGATAGGCTTAATGTAAACCTTATCATCAATGTGTGCTGATATACTATAAACCTTATATACTATAACCCTTGTACTCATAGTAAAAACACTATGTGCATTATATCATCTATGAACCTGCAGGATTTTGCTTTCTGCTTGGTAGTATTGCACACTGCTTTGCTGATCTTACTGTCTCATTGCAGGGCCTGTGACTAAAACAGTGAACTAGGCAGGCTCTAATGACAGTAAACATCAACAATGCTCCAGTTAAGCCGAAATCAATTGCTCCAAGCTGCCTACACTTTAAACATTCAGAAAGTGGCAGAAGGCACTTTTTTCTCAAAATAATGTGATTTGGTAAAGTTGACATAGGTCCTACAGATTCATGTAAAGTGTTCCGTTTTATCCAGAGTAGAAAGGAATTTCAGACAGTCTTACAAAACTGGTGTGAGTCTACCAATTGGTTAATAACTGAACATGGTTTCATGTAGCTTAAAAGAGAAAAAAAAAAGGTTACTTCCATTAATTCCATTTAATGCACCATATGCTCAAGAGACAAGGGAGAAAAAAAAAAAAAAAAAACCAACATACCCAGTACTATCCTTCTTCCTCTCTTACTCATTGCAACTTTCTTTTCTAAAAACATTTGTTCTTTAAGGACCTCTTTCATACTGGTAGATTTTGACTTCTGATCCTTTAAAGATTTATGTACAGAGTTTGATGTACCTATATTGTGCAGTAAACATTAAAAAAGGAATAAAATGTACATAAGACTGGGACTTATTTAGGAAAACAACACCACAATACCAACAACTGCTTATAGCCATTAGAGGTTTACAGTGGGGATCGAAGGTTTGGGCACCCCAGCTAAAAATTTGTATTAATGTGCATAAAGAAGCCAAGGAAAGATGGAAAAATCTCCAAAAAGGCATCAAATTACAGATTAGACATTCTTATAATATGTCAACAAAAGTTAGATTTTATTTCCATCATTTACACTTTCAAAATAACAGAAAACAAAAAAAAATGGCGTCTGCAAAAGTTTGGGCACCCTGCAGAATTTATAGCATGCACTGGCATGCACTGCCCCCTTTGTCAAGCCGAGACCTGCCAGTGTCATGGATTGTTCTCAATCATCGTCTGGGAAGACCAGGTGATGTCAATCTCAAAGGTTTTAAATGCCCAGACTCATCTGACCTTGCCCCAACAATCAGCACCATGGGTTCTTCTAAGCAGTTGTCTAGAAAACTGAAACTGAAAATAGTTGACGCTCACAAAGCTGGAGAAGGCTATAAGAAGATAGCAAAGCGTTTTCAGATGTCAATATCCTCTGTTCGAAATGTAATTAAGAAATGGCAGTCATCAGGAACAGTGGAAGTTAAAGCAAGATCTGGAAGACCAAGAAAAATATCAGACAGAACAGCTCGCAGGGTTGTGAGAAAAACAATTCAAAACCCACGTTTGACTGCACGATCCCTCCAGAAAGATCTGGCAGACACTGGAGTTGTGGTACACGATTCCACTATAAAGAGATACTTGTACAGATATGGTCTTCATGGAAGAGTCATCAGAAGAAAAGCTCTTCTACGTCCTCACCACAAAAATCATCGTTTGAACTTTGCAAATGAACATATAGAAAAGCCTGATGCATTTTGGAAACAAGTTCTGTGGACCGATGAGGTTAAACTTTTTGGCCGGAATGAGCAAAGGTACGTTTGGAGAAGAAGGGGCACAGAATTTAATGAAAAGAACCTCTGTCCAACTGTTAAGCATGGGGTTGGATCAATCATGCTTTGGGGTTGTGTTGCAGCCAGTGGCACAGGGAACATCTCACGAGTAGAAGGAAAAATGGATTCAATAAAATTTCAGCAAATTTTGGATGGTAACTTGATGCCATCTGTGAAAAAGCTGAAGTTAAAGAGAGGATGGCTTCTACAAATGGATAATGATCCTAAACACACCTCGAAATCCACGGGGGGGGATTACATCAAGAGGCATAAACTGAAGGTTTTGCCATGGCCTTCACAATCTCCTGACCTCAACATAATTGAAAATCTATGGATAGACCTTAAAAGAGCAGTGCGTGACAGACAGCCCAGAAATCTCAAAGAACTGGAAGACTTTTGTAAGGAAGAATGGGCAAAGATACCTCAAACAAGAATTGAAAGACTCTTGGCTGGCTACAAAAAGCGTTTACAAGCTGTGATACTTGCCAAAGGGGGCAGTACAAGATATTAACTCTGCAGGGTGCCCAAACTTTTGCAGACGCCATTTTTTTGTTTTCTGTTATTTTGAAAGTGTAAATGATGGAAATAAAATCTAACTTTTGTTGACATATTATAAGAATGTCTAATCTGTAATTTGATGCCTTTTGGAGATTTTTCCATCTTTCCTTGGCTTCTTTATGCACATTAATACAAATTTTTAGCTGGGGTGCCCAAACTTTCGATCCCCACTGTAACTTGTTTATCAAACCCCTTCATCCCAACACATTACCTTGATTCTTCATTTTCAAAGCTTTGGCTTTCTCTGCTGCTTTTTGTTTGCGCTTTTCTTCCAATCGCTCTCGTTTCACTTGCCGCCTTAACAGTCTTTCCTCCTTCTCCTTGGCCTGCAAAGCAGAAAGTAAATTCAAGTTAAAGCCAAGTCAACTTGTTTTAAATATAGCAGATAAGCAGCGCACACAAAATACCCATCCACTTACTTACCTACCCACACCCCCACAAAAAAACAAAAAAAACTGTACAGCTTGATCTGCCCCTTACTCCATAATGCCTTTCAAGCATTCCAGGTATTAAGCAAATTTGATGTAAATGTACAATCTAGGATTTGACAATGTCAGGATTACATCATACAGACCTGCAGTCACTGTCAAATCCTAGGGCGTTCTTTTACATCACACTACTGATACCCCCGTGTGCCCGCAGATGTTTACTGGAAGTGAGATTTTTTCTTCTGTTCTTAAATAGGCAGTTTAACACATTCCTGCATCACCCTGGTTTTGTCTTCTTTAAAAAAGGCACCTGTCAATGACCAAACAAAACTACTAGCAAATAGGGATCAAATAATTTAAGGTATACAGCACGGGCGGACTGACAACTCATGGGGCCCCCAGGCAATAGGGGATTATGGGGCCCCTTTGTCCTTGCCCAAACTCAAAAAAGCCTATGAAAAAAAAGGTACCAGGGGCATCTCATGGGGCCCCCTACTGACCCCGGGCCTTCGGGCAGTGTCAGAGTTTCCAGATGGTCAGTCCACCCCTGGTATACAGTGCCCCTGAAAGTTTAGTAGTAGCAAACCTATACTTAAAAGTACAGGCTACCAAAAAAAAAAAAAAAAAAAAAAGACAGCTGATCGCCCAGTTCTCAAGTGTTCTGTGAGCAGATAGCCAGTGGCTGTCAGTCACTGGCTCTCTGCTCTACCCATCCAGAGTTCACTGGAGTTATGGGCTGTGGAAGGGACAGAAGGGGCTGGATCAGGCTCTCGGCAGATCACTGAAAGGCTGAGCCAGTTGCTGGTCCAAGCTTCAGGGCAGATACCAACCTGGACTGGCTCTGACGTCAACAGACAATGGGCTTTAGCCAGCTGTCGGCTGAAAACTGATCACAGGAGTCAAGAACAAAACTGCACTCCTGTGATCCCCAGGAGCTATTGCTATGCATCTCCTTTAAAGTCAGATGTAGAAGTTTAAGCTCCACTGACAGTGGTAATGAAGTGATAAACATATACAATTGCATGACAAAACAGGGTTGATCCAATGATCAAAATATGTGCCCAATATGAAAAACCTGTGAAACTGTCAAGACCTGGAACAACTCCGTTCTTCCAGACACATTGTAAACAAACATGCAGGGTGAAAAAAATCCCTATGCGAGCCACTGAGAACTGAAGTTTGAGTGATTTGATTTTAAACAAACAATCAAGCTGCCTAAGTAGCCTTTTCGTAAAATGCCTGCTTTTAGAACAGGCTCAGACGATAATCAGATTTTATTGTGATTTTCAGTCAGCTAGCTTACAGAACTTCAAATAATTTACCCTTACTTGTCAATAAGTGTACTGCCCAAGTTCATTAGTGAATGAAGGCTCACAGAGTACAATAATTAATTTGTTGGTCTTACAAAAAAGACCTCCTGCAAATTGAACGTATTGAACGTGCAATCATAGCCTATTGATTATAATATATCTGCACTATGGCTTCTACATAGCAAAGCTCAATTCACTGATATATATATAAAAAAAAAAAAGGTTGCAGGATTTCATAAAGAACGCTTTGGTCAGATTTCCATAAACAAAAGGTTTGCACGGCATGCCTGTAGATAGCCTGTGATATAACAGATTGACAACCCTCACCCAGCTCTGCTCACTATGAGTGCAGTCACAACAGCAGATTAGCTTTGTCATGCCTTCTAACACCCCTTCCACGCCCCCTAGCAGGCATCAGTATCAGATGCGAGCTCTGAGGTCACATGACCATTGAAATAATTTGTAAAGTATTTACAAGCATTTATTAACATTCTGAAGAAGCATTTTACAAACACAAACCTGCATACTATTTAATTGCCCATTTTAAGTTTGCTTAAACTTTAGGACCCATCCACATTTGTGTACTGTAGCAATACAAAGTAAAACGCCTACAATCCAGCGACGCACAACAATACACCTGCTCTGCAACTGTGGTTCCATTAATTTCCAGCGGCACCCCAACACTCTGTACAGCAGAATGCAACACACAGCGCACATGGTACTCTGCACCACTGCAAAAGGGCCATGTGCGGTTTTCTGTTATGCTTCGGCAGTCCACTCACAAACCAATGGGCTGCCTTAATGCATTGCACATTAACACTTCAAGTAAAACTATAAGCAAAATATTTCATTTTGGGCAGAGTAAGGGAAGGTTATAGCCCCTGTCAGATTTTTTTTGAGATTGAGATTTTCCCCACACTTCCTTATCTCATAATCAAATGAAGTGAGAGGAAACCCCTAAAAATTAAGGGAATCTCTTGGAGATCCCCAAGTTACCAGAACTAGTGTCTCCATTGGAAGATTTTCCCTATTACTTTTCTGGGGACAACCCAAACTTTGGGATTTTCTTTTACTGTCACTTTTGATAATGGTAAACAATGACAAATAAAGAGGGTGAATCTCCCTAATAGGGGGACAGACAGCAATAAAATCTGACAGGTGTTCTACTCTATCTCCATTCCGCTGCTAAAGTGTGACTTCGCCCTTAACGTCAACTTCTCTAAAATATCTATGTGGGCTGCCATTACCAACAACTTTCTGAAGTTGCTAATTGTCTGGTTAGTACACTGGCCCACTGGGTTGAATAATGTTTGAACCATTGACCAGGAACAAATATGCAAATCAGTAATGCAGTGGAAAGCCAGCTATCCTTATTTGCATATCTGCTCCAGGTAATTGACACAAAGAACTGAAGCAAGAAGATAAAATGTGACAGTCAAGTAAAAATGGCAGTCACCTTGTTTCTCTCAGGAAAGCTTTAGGCCTCATGCCTACTGGGGCTTTTCTAAATGCTTTTCTCCTGGCAATTTTTGCAGATGCGTTTAGGTGCATCAAGGGCTTGGTGTTTATTCATTTAATTGGCCAGAATATTAATTTATTCTGGTCACTGAAATGAATAATCGCTGAAGTGCTAAAGGTGTCCACAGCTTAGGCACGGTTAGGTGTTTTACAGCTAAAGCTAAAGCGCTTGTCTCTTGAACACACAAGTCCGCTTTTGATTGCCTAGGTGAGTACAGCGGAAGAGGGAGCGGGTACCTGTCAAATTCCGTATCCGCGATCCCCCCCCCCCCTCCACACGCCCGCTCCCCAACAGTGCCAATCCTTAATGGGGAGCGGGCAACAAAGGCTTAAAGGAACCCTATTGGGTGGAGCTCCACTTTAATTCGCTTTTAGTATCTTCCGACGCAACACCCTTTTTGCAAATGTCTGTCAGCAATCCCCCTATCTGACCTTCCTCACTGATATGGGAAAATAAATGTCTGACAGCCTTTTTGTTGAAAGAAGCATAAGCTTACCACAGACTGTCTGCGCTGCTCCACAGTCAACTCATCATCAGAGTCACTGTAATACTTGGAATACAGGTACGGTTTGTGCACATAGGCGTGCCGAGTGCCCTTTGCTTTTGTTTCACTCTGTTCGCTAGCTTTATTTTGAGTATCCGCTTTCTCTTCATCTGAAGTAAAACAAGAGGATTAGTACAGGTGCCAAAACATATGTAGTCACATTATATGAGGAAAACTCACATTTCTCATGTATTAATTCAAGAAGCCATTTTTTTTTCACAGCCAACAGATGAAATTGAAAGCATGATTTTTAGCATCAAATTCAAATTTGAAACACGATAACTAACTAGATATAATTACATGTTGTAGTGAAGAGAAAGCATATAAAGCAAAAGCTTCACTTTACACTAAATATGGATAAACAGAATGAAGCTGTTCCTAATTTATCAGAAATAAGAATATGCTCAGAACCTACCATCAGAAGTAATTTCACCCTCTTCTGTGCTGTCTGACACAGCCTCATCTTCATCATCACTTTCTTCTTCAAATGAGGACAAGTCACTGGTGTGGACTGAACTAACTGTCACATCTGACATAGCATCCAGGTCTGAATCAATAGATGGGCATTCTACAAAACAAGATGGGAAAAACATTAAAGGCTCCATTCACACCTGAGCATCATGGCTTTGAGCTTTTTTTTTTTTTTTTTTTTTTTTTAATAGCCAACAGAGAAAAATATCATCTGTTTCATCATTTGTAGCTAGGGTTTTCAGAGGTTTTTTTTAGCTTTTTATTATTCATTTCCTTTTTTTCCCCTTTTTTGTTAGAGAGTTAGGGGTTGGGGTTAAGTTTAGGTGTAGGGTTGAGGGTTAGAGTTAGGTGTTGTGGTTTGGGATAGGGGTTCATTTTTTGACTTCCTATTTATTTGTTAGGGTGTTTATTTAAATGTATTAGTTTTTAAAATGTATTAATTTTTTTTATTTCAGGGTTAGGGGTTTAAGGTATTTTTTTCCATTACATTTGTATATTTTTTTATGATTTTTATTTTACATTTGTTCATTTATATTGTTTTTTACATTTTTTTTTTTTTTTTTATTTGAACAGAAAAAAAAGCTCCAAAACGCTCAAAAACTCATGAATAGTGCATTTCAATGCATTTCTATGGGGGGGAAAAAAAAAAAAATAATAAAACAATCTGCCTGAATCAAGCTACAAAAGTAGCTGTAAAACTTTTTTGAGCTTCAGGCAACTTGAAGTGGAGATGTGAACTATCCATAAAAAATAAAGTTTTTTTTTCTGCCTGAGCTTTTTTGGGGCGTCAAGCTACAAAATGCTCAGGTGTGAATGGGGCCTAACAGGCCTTGCTGGTATAATTCTTTATAGTGAATAAAACTGAATGAAATGTTACTTGTGTGATCGGTGTATCAACACTGTTCTTCTCAGTGTATACCAACAACCATGTGTTTAGCACAGTTTGCAGACATGCTCGAGCCCTTTATATGGAGGTATTGGTTCGGTCAGTAAGGATGAATCATGTTAATTTTAGGGAATTTTAATTGGACCCTCACTCTCCAATTAACATGGACTAGTTTTAATCCTTATGCTACTAGCATTAGTAAATAGATAGGAAAGTATATTGTATTTACATGTTTTAAACTTTTTTTCACACTTTTTGTCACTTCCTGTTTCCAGGCCTAGGCAAATGGTATACATCCCAGGAATCTTCAGGAGAGGAGGTTAGGCAGGGTTTTCTCAGCTAAGCACATCAATGGAGACATGGATGGATAGGTAAGTTTTCTTTGAATATTAAAAATTGTGTAGTTCTGCTTTATTAATTGTGCATAATTACCGAATGTATGGATTTGTACATCAACATTGAGGCTCATTTAAAATGTGCTATTTTTTATGCATTTGTTTACATTAAATCAGCAGTACTGCAGCCCTTTGGTCTGTCCCTTTTGCTATTGTGTCTTCCTAATTCTGATCCCAGAACAGAGCCCTAACCTCAAACAATAGGAGATCTCCATTTACTCTGTGTAGTTTTAGAAGCATTCAAATTGCAACAGACTGGGGACTGGACATGTCCCAGCCACTTGGCAACAGCCCGCAGTAATTCTACTGTGGTCGGGCAGCTCGTACAGGCCTCGGCACGTACCTGTATGTTGGCACGTTCTTCCGGATTCAGGGTATGTGCGCATCCACCACACACATACGTGATTGGACACAGCAGAATTTTGTTTGCAGGTTTCAGCCAATGGTTCATGGCTGAGACCTGCTGATCAGCTGTGTCCAATCATATTCCAGAACTTTAATGTCAAACACACAGGGCTCTGTACAGAGGAAAGAGGTGTGTTTCTTCTTGCTACAAACCAGGGAGAAGGAACAAACTGATTTAGTTAAAAAAACAGCACACATTACCACTTGTTAGGCACACAATTAACCCTTTGATTACCCCATTTTACTGTACACTTATTGGGATTTTTTTTTGTACCAAAGATATGTAGCTGAATACATTTTGGCCTAAATGTAGGAAGAAATTTGATTTTTAAAGGTTTTTTTTTTTGTATTGGAGAGGTTTTATGTAAAATATATTTTTTATTTTTCAAAATTCCGTTTTTTTTTCATTTATATAACAAAAAATTAAAAAAGCAGAAAGCTCCATTTCTGATAAAAATGATATAAATTTAGTTTGGCTACAGCGTTGCATGACCGAGCATCTACCAGTTTAAAGTAGCAGTGATGAATAGCAAAAAATAGACTGGTCATGACGGGGATAAAGCCTTCGGGAACTAGTTCTTAGTTTAAAACTCCCCCTACTCCACAAATATAAATATATATGTATATTTTGATTTGATACATTGATTTATCTAGTCCATCACTGAACAGTTTTCTTTAACATGCTCATATGTTTATTTTTTCTTAGCTGAGCCACCTTCACAATAAATTACTCAAAATAATGTAGCCCTACGGTCACATACCTTCTTTCACGGGCTCAACCAGCTTCAGCTTACTGCTGCTCTTTTCAGTGTTGTGTTTTACAGATTCTGCATCATTTTCTTTTTCCTTTACAGATTTTTCCTCCTTCTGCCTTGCAGCCTCATCAGTCTTTCTTACATGCTCACTCTTCTTCTCTGTCTTGGTTTCTTTCTTGTCATCCTTCTTTTCAACTTTTTCAATGAACTCATTTTTTTTCTCTGCTTTCTCAGCTGCTTTAGCTCGTTGCTCATCAATATCATTCACAGTGGTTTGAGAACACCCAATCATTTCACTGACTAAATTTTTATTTTCTTCCACAGGTAGTAAAAAGTCAGGTGCATCTTCCTGCTTCACAACTTGTTCAACACTTTCACTGGGGATTTCAGGGACAGGTTTTTCATTTTCCTGGGTCTCTTCTGGAGGACGATCTTTCTCCAATGACATATCTACATTCTGCTGTGCAAATCTTCTGGACACCTTTTCAGTGTTTTTATGGTTTGCATTTTCAGTTAAGGCTCGGGCAGCTGTAGCTTCTTGATTTAAGGAACTTATGGTTTCCAAAATAGACATGGCATCATTAGCTACACTGGTGCTAGGTCCAACTGCAGAGATGGAACCTTTTGGGAAAAATGGAACAGAAGAATCATATCTGTCAAAGTTTTCATGGATATAGCAACTGAAAATCAAAATTGTATATGCATTAAGACGCCATTCACACCAGAACGCTGTGTGGAAAACCCATGTTCCATGCACATTTCCCACACCGCATTCACACATTGCAGTTGCGATCTACAGTGAGTGTCAATGGTAAATAAATGACACCCCAAATGCAGGTCGCAAACATAGTGCGTTTGCCTACATTGGAACGTATGGTACAAAAATGCCAAAAAATCTGTTTGCAGCACATACACTAAATACGGTGCGGTGCAGCGCAATTTGAGCCCATTCAAAAATGACATGCCAGCAGCTGACACTTTGCATGGCTGATGGATATCAATCCTGACTGTCACTGATGGCTTGTACCCACTAATAATCAGGAACCAGAGCAGTCCCCAATAATGTGATCACTAGGTCAGCTCTGACATAGTAATCACATGCAGGTTAAAGCCTTCACCCACCAATATATAAAATTTAAAAAAAAACAAACAAAAAAAAAACACGTGTAGGGTTTAATGTAAACAGTGTATCAAAAAACCCATATTCAAGTATGCAAATTAGAATTACCTGATGCATGCCCACGCAGAATATTTTAGCATGAGCATTTAGGCATCAATGGCCCCTGGTCATGAAAGGTTTTAAGAAGTATCCCACTTTCAAAGCAGAGGTAAAAACCCCTAAACTTGCCCCCTGTTATGACAGATGGACAATGGTGCTCTACTCAGATGCTCCAATGATCAGCTACTGTCTAACTACTACTAGTTAGTTAGAAATGCAACCTTTTTTGCTCTAAAATGCCTTCCCTATTAACAGTATAATTGCCAGTAGATTTTAGGTACATGGCATGTATCAGAGGTTCACAAGCCAACAAAAGGTTGATTTAAAAGCATAATCCACCTTTTTAAACCAGGTTTTTAATATGTAGAGTGTAACCAGAAAATTACCATATACCCCATCCCCAAATCTCACAACATCCCCTCCCCTTTCCTGAACTGCATCATCCATTGACAGGGATTGCTAAATCAAGATACTACACATCCAATCTGCCACGGCAGCAGAGGAACTCAAAGCATCCTGGCAGAAGGGCTGTGATGTCAATGTAATGCAATTGTAGTTCACCACTCTTTGTTTCCCCAGCCTCTGTAAGGACCTGCAGCTGAAATGATCAATGCAGAAGTCTGTGCATTGCACGCAAGGTGCATTCATCACTCTTGAAAAAGCTTGAATGCACAAATGTAATAAATGCCTCGTTATTAATTTATTGTTTGTGCATTTGTTTATTTAAAGGTGGACTATGCCTTAACAAATTAAAGATAAAAGTACCAGCATTGGAAACCGATGATTCAAACTTCTCCTCAGTCTGCTCATGATTTGCGTTGGCATCTTCCTTGTTATGTAGGGTAGCCAGAAAATCTTGTACGACCTTTTCCACTTGAGGTCTAAATGTGTGGTTTATTTTTGGATCCACCACCTGGGATATGATGCGGTCAATACCTGCTTCGAGCATTCCAGATCTGAGGAAAAAAGATAAACATATTCTGTATGTTGCAGTAACAATGGTAAAATGCACAAAACAGGGTTTTCAAATCATGACTAACATAAGAAAATAGGGAATTTGAACCGGCTTTCTCCAGCATTTGTCAGTAGGAATCCCAGTACATTTACTCTCACAAATGCTCAAAAGATGGTAGGTTGCTGCAAAATCTACAACTCCAAGGTAAAGACATCATGACCACAGTAGATGGATTAAATGTCCACAAGTTCACATAAATTTTATGGAAAAAAAAAGAAAAAGATAAAGAGTAACATTCCAGGAAAAGCCAGTGATCTACAAACAGGGTTGCAGCAGTGAAACTTTGTAATAATGGTCCATAGTTAAAATAATCAATAGCTAAGTGGCTATACCAGTGATCAGAATGTAACCCAAATACTGTAAGCCCCCATTTACATCGGGTGTGACTTGGCATGCGATTTGCATGCCCTGCGACTTGCAAATTATATGCCAAGTCGCACCCTATTGTCCGCAATTGTCTGACTTGGTCAGAGCCGCACCAATTTCTAAAGTAGTGCACTACTTTTGTTGCGATTTGCATAGACAACTGTGTCAGATGTCTTGCAAATCGCAAGGAAATCAGGTCACCCAAATTTGAAATTGTGCAACTTCACTGTAAGTCGCACAATTTCAAAATCGGCTTTGATGTGACCGGGGTGTAAGGGCCAGTTCACACTACATAGGTTTCAGTGTGCTTATTTTCCGCACCCAAAATGCACAGAAAGTAGGTTATATGGTTGTCAATGTCACAGTTCACATCAATGCTCGCAGCTCCAGTGTGTTCCGATTGCAGAGAAGAAAAAAAAAAATAGAACATATTGCATTTTTCCTGCACAGAACTGTACTGGAACACGGTATCAAAAAAATGCATAGGAATGCACTATAAACGCACTGTAATGCATGTGTCCCTATTTATATTGAAGGAAGGGGGAAAAAAAAAAGTACCATAAACGCATTAAAAACGCACCGGAACGTGCCAAAAACGTGCATCCGGACTGCGTTTCTATGGTGTGAACTGGCCCAAAAAGTGAATTTTATGATACTACAACAGCATAAACCCAAATAAGAGTAGTATTTATTATATATCCTGGATATACTAAAATGGGTCAAATAGTACTACATCAATACGGAGGTAAAAATAATGTACATAAAGCAGTCAGACACCCTTCACTTTTTTCAATTTTGTTATGTTGCAGCCTGATATTACAGCTGTTTAAATTCATTTTTTTTCTCATTAATCTACACTCAGTACCCCATAATGACAAAGTAAAAACATACTTTTGCAACATTTTTAAAATTATGAAAAGGGAAAAACAGAAATATCTACGTTTGTAGAGCAGATTCCTGCTGCCAGAACACAGGGGTCAGGGGCAGGCGAAATACAATTCTTCCATCCACCTTGGTGGAGAAATCTGTTAATTCTACTTTTCTAACAACCTAAATGGAATGGAGATCCTGTCCCAACATGCTTGTTGAAACCACTCTTGAGTTGCCCGAAAAGCTCTTCATATCAGGGAATCCCTCTTCCCCCCCCCCCCCCCCCCCCCCCCCCCCCCCACAACAAAGATGACCTCTTATAAGTGTTACTGCATGAAGCAAGAAAATCCTGTCTTAGGCAGCAATTGAAATGGCCAGGCTTTTAGCTTTCCTAATTGGTATTTGAATTTGAACTAAAAGGCAAAACTCCCCCCCCCCACCACCATTTTTAATAGTAGTAAGGGAGTGTTCTAGCCCGTCAGTTTTTTGCCATCTGTAGCTCATTGAGGAAATGTCTCTTAATTTTCTCTCCTACAGCCAAACCAAGTGAGAGGAAATCCCTCCAAAGTGAGGGAATCCCTGATTGTTACCAGAACTAGTGTCCTCACTGGAGAATTTCCTTTGTGATTTCCTTTCACTTTTACTCTCGGTGACAACAATACACAGAAAGGGTGAATCTTCCTAACAGGGACATGCACAACAAAAAAACCTGACAGGTGTTCTAATCCCCCTCCACTCTATCCAAAACAAAAATAAATTGCCGTTAGTTATATTTAAAGCTCAACTCCAGGAAAATAAAAAGAAAACCACCTTTGCAGTGAGCCTCACCTGCAATACAAGAGCTAATTGCTTGTTAAAGGATAAGTCCACCTTTTGCTAAAAATCAAAGCACTTTTGCAGGTTAAAAAAATTTGCATTTATTATATTTTGTTGCAGGAGCAAGTAAAAGCAATGCATCAGTGATCAGCAGATTGCTAATGCCACGCAGGCCTCCTGTATATCTGCTTGCCCATACGGGATAGTAGATATACTGACAAGAAGAATCAATGAACTTCCACAGTGCCATGGTAGTTCAATCGACAGCCGCTAAGGCTGTCAGGACTTGTAGTTTCTCATTCACAGAAAACTGCGAATGAGTGATGCAGCTGGGTGGGTGGAGCTAGCAGGAGCAGAAGATCCCCCGCTAGCTGTCAAAGCACGGGAGTGGAAGTCTGTCTATTCATAACATGTTACATCCTGAATATGGGTGTAACAGGTTATGAAAGGTGAACTTCTCCTTTAAGACTAGGGCTGAGGATCAGGAGTGAATGCTAACCTTTTTCTCACTCCAGTAGGCTGCCTCCAGTTCTGTGACCGGTCTCCAACAGCTTCTCTCTAATCTGCAACTGGCACGTATCGCACTCCAGCCTCCCCAGCATACCATACTGGGTTAAGGTCTCGGCATTGTATGTGATAATGCCAAGACTCTGCCCGTAGACCAAAGCGAAGAATCGAGTAAGTGAAACTCTTCATCTGTCCCTGCAAACGTGGATTTGTTTCTCTCCTGCATTTGGGCTTTAACAACTAAAATACTATGAATTTTCTTTCCCAGGATAGAAAGTGCTTTGTTAACCTTTTTCTATATAAAGTGCAACATCACTGTGACCTGGTTTAGATTAGAGCCTGAGGGAATTTAAAAAAAAATTAATTGGATTTTCTCTTTGATACCTTGGATTAAGTTCATTTGTCTCTGTTAGACACATTTCTACTGTATCTTTCCCTTGTATTTCACACGTTAAAAATAAATAATTAATAATAATAATAATTTAAAAAAAAAAAAAAAAAAAAGTATAATAGTTTGCTCATTTTACCAACATTTTGCAGCTGCTCCAAGTAGCTCTTTAAAGCAGTATAAAAACCGAATCTATAAATGTAATATGTTGCAGCTTACCCATTCATTAGATGTGGCAGCTGCATTAGTTCTTTTTTAGGCTTTTTTCCCCAGTGACCTGGCCAGTAACACACATCCTGTATTAGAGAGCCCACACTCTGGATGAAGGAGCACAGGGAGCACCTTTGGACAGCAACTTTGTCAGTCTGGTGAGGAGGGCAGTGTTAGATGTATTACCATATTTAGATACACTAACAAATTGAAGCCAAATGCCAGGTAGTACATTATAATCAGTTACAGCAAACCTTTTTTTCCTTTTGGGATAAAGGTTTCACATACAAAAAAAAAAAATAAAAAATAGTGGAGCACTGTCAGCACCTCTGTCTTTGGTAAATGGTTTGTCTCATCTCTGTAACCAATACATTCTGCTGGACAGCTTGTTCTTTGGAAAAACAGACCGTGGCTGACTCACCAGATGACAGAAAATAATCGGTAAGCTGCAATATAACAAAATGTTTGCTTTTGGATTTAATACCACTTTAAAAGGAAACAACCAGTAGCCATAGCAATAATTGTAGGTTTGAAGCTGTTGGATGTACCTCAATTCATCCACACTAAAAATGTGATTTTCTCCACCTTCCCTCAAGAGGTTTAACTAAAAAAAAACAAACAAAAACACACACAGACATGAAGCTATGCGAAGGGGGATATAAAACTTTTATAGTAAAGTAGTACTGGAGCTCCAGTCCATCAGTAGCTCCAGTCCATCAGCCTCCAGCTTCTCTGGGTTCAGATGGTGATCTTCCATGCACAGAGCCCTTAAAATACCTACCTGAAATATTGCACAGAGCAGCCCAGAGTGCTCCTAAAGCAAGCCACAAAGTATAGTATAGAGTGTTCCTACTGCTATCTGTATTAACGCAAATTAATCGATTATAAAAATAGTTGTCAACTATTTTCAAAATCTATTATAATCGATAATGTCGATTAGTTGTTTCAGCCCCGATATATACCATAGTTTAAAGATTCTAACAAAGAAAAATATATTTTTTTTTTTTTTCAAAATTGTATTTTTTCCTGTTTATTTTAAAAAACCCAGTCATGAATAAATACCACCAAAAGAAAGCGCTGTCTCAAAATAGTGCTAAACTGGGTACAGTTTAGCATGAGTAATTGGCATTCAAAGTGAAAGCTGAAAATTGACCTGGGCAGGAAGGAGGAGAAAGTGTCCAGTACTGAAGTGGTTAAACGTGACTGGGAACTGCTCTTACCCCTTATAAAGCACACTTCTTGCAAGTAGGAATGAATGCATTACAAACACATCTTTGCCTGTCTAAAAACACTTCTTTGAAATAAGTTTCAGGATTTCTAAGTGATCAATGGCCCACAATCCTTGGATAGGTGAATAAACAAAAACAGACTGTACCAAAAGAAGCATAAAAGGAGGAAGGTACGCAGAAAAAAAAAAAAAAAAAAAAAAAAAAATCAGCGCAGGGGAAAAAAACAAAAAACAATACAATAACATTCCCAGAGGTTCTGACTGCAAACCAGAATGATCGGATGCACACAAAGTAAGAAACCACGGTCCAGATCCCTTTAAATAGGTTTATGGTTCCTTCCTGGTTTCTACTAATTCTAGACTCCTGTCATACAGTGGGGCAAAAAAGTATTTAGTCAGCCACCAATTGTGCAAGTTCTCCCACTTAAAAAGATGAGAGAGGCCTGTAATTGGCATCATAGGTAGACCTCAACTATGAGAGACAAAATGAGAAAACAAATCCAGACAATCACATTGGCTGATTTGGAAAGAATTTATTTGCAAATTATGGTGGAAAATAAGTATTTGGTCAATATCAAAAGTTCATCTCAATACTTTGTTATATATCCTTTGTTGGCAATGACAGAAGTCAAACGTTTCCTGTAAGTCTTCACAAGGTTGGCACACACTGTTGCTGGTATGTTGGCCCATTCCTCCATGCAGATCTCCTCTAGAGCAATGATGTTTTGGGGCTGTCACTGGGCAACACGGACTTTCAACTCCCTCCAAAGGTTTTCTATGGGGTTGAGATCTGGAGACTGGCTAGGCTACTCCAGGACCTTGAAATGCTTCTTATGAAGCCACTCCTTCGCTGCCTGGGCAGTATGTTTGGGATCATTGTCATGTTGGAAGACCCAGCCACGTTTCATCTTCAATGCCCTTGCTGATGGAAGGAGGTTTGCACTCAAAATCTCATGATACATGGCCCCATTCATTCTGTCCTGTACTTGGATCAGTCGTCCTGGCCCTTTGCAGAAAAACAGCCTCAAAGCATGATGTTGCCCACCCCATGCTTCACAGTAGGTATGGTGTTCTTTGGATGCAACTCAACATTCTCTCTCCTCCAAACACGACGAGTTGTGTTTCTACCAAACAGTTCTATTTTGGTTTCATCTGACCATATGACATTCTCCCAGTCCTCTTCTGGATCATCCAAATGCTCTCTAGCAAACTTCAGACGGGTCCAAACATGTACTGGCTTAAGCAGGGGGGCACGTCTGGCACTGCAGGATCTGAGTCCCTGGCGGCGTAGTGTGTTACTGATGGTAGCCTTTGTTACGTTGGTCCCAGCTCTCTGCAGGTCATTCACTAGGTCCTCCCGTGTGGTCCTGGGATTTTTGCTCACCGTTCTTGTGATCATTTTGACCCCACGGGGTGAGATCTTGCGTGGAGCCCCATATCGAGGCACATTATCAGTGGTCTTGTATGTCTTCCATTTTCTAATTATTGCTCCCACAGTTGATTTGTTCACACCAAGCTGCTTGCCTATTGCAGATTCAGTCTTCCCAGCCTGGTGTAGGTCTACAATTTTGTTTCTGGTGTCCTTCGACAGCTCTCTGGTCTTCACCATAGTGGAGTTTGGAGTGTGACTGTTTGAGGTTGTGGACAGGTGTCTTTTATACTGATAACAAGTTCAAACAGGTGCCATTGATACAGGTAATGAGTGCAGGACAGAGGAGCCTCTTAAAGAAGAAGGTACAGGTCTGTGAGAGCCAGAAATCTTGCTTGTTTGTAGGTGACCAAATACTTATTTTCCACCATAATTTGCAAATAAATTCTTTCCAAATCAGCCAATGTGATTGTCTGGATTTTTTTTCTCATTTTGTCTCTCATAGTTGAGGTCTACCTATGATGCCAATTACAGGCCTCTCTCATCTTTTTAAGTGGGAGAACTTGCACAATTGGTGGCTAACTAAATACTTTTTTGCCCACTTTATACTAACCAATATGTCGGATTAAGGTCAGAAAACATGTCTAATATGACCCAATGCATTTCCCACCTTATCCTGGGCTACCTTCTTCACACAGCTACTTTCAGCTGTATGTGTTCCATCTGAGTTCTGCTGCCTCTACAAAGTCACAGTGACGCGGTCAGCTGCCTCCACAGTATGGATCCCTCAAATTGCAATCCATATAAGCTTTCTGGCCTTCCCAAGCAAGATGAAATGTTTGCCAACAGTTAGGGGAGTCTCTCTCCTTCCGGTAAGTGTGCAATAAGCTCAATTGCTAGAACACTTATTATAAAGAGAGGCATCTTTTTCCTGGTCAAATCTTTGTTCCTTTGTAAAAGAGAAAAAGGGGCTGTTCCCATAGGCATGCTGCATAACATAAGCAAAACAAGGAACACTCTCATCGTGCATTAACGTGGTAAACCACAAATTTATTTAAAACATATAGGTGTATACTCACAAACCAAAGAGAATAAAAACAGCAGGTTTGTGAGTATACATCTATATGTTTTTAAATAAATTTGTGGTTTACCACGTTAATGAACGATGAGAGTGCGCCCTGTTTTGCTTTTGTTTCCAGTACCAAGATTTCCCGATCTTCGAAGGGCTGCACCTCAACGTTTGGCATTTAAAGTTATTTCTAGTCTGTATGAAGATTTGAGCGCTGGTTTCATTTGTACATTTGGATGCTGCATAACAACTAAAAAAAAGATCAATCAGCAGTCTATCATCTACTATCAATGGTCACCTATAATGTACACTGCAGGACAATGGAAGCAAATTAGCTGCAAGATGAAAAAAAAGGCAGAATAGATCATTTTCTGTACAAGATGTGACTCACTTGAGCACCTGCTGCCTGATGTTATTCCTTAGCTGATTCTTGTTCAGATGGGGGCTCCAGGTGTGATTCGCCAAGTGGTTAGATACAAAGTTGTCAACTCGTTGTCTCAAATTTTGGTATGCAGGCTACAGGACATACAAAGCAAGAAGAGAGGATATTAAAACATTGTAATTATCATACATGGCAAACACTACTACATCTGGGGCACTTAGTTGCCAGCTGCAAGGTACAAAAATTGGTTTAAAAGAATTTTAGGAATTGCAAGCTTTCTAGTACACCCAGGAGGGACATGTTGTGGCTACTCAGGAGGTCCACCCACTGCACCCGGTATCTCTGCAGCCATGTGTGTCCCCACGCAACATTCCTCCAATCACCTGTCCCCTCTATGCTGCAGCACTTTAGATTCAATTTCAAATTGGGCGTCCCAGGAGCAAACAAACTGCAGGCATATAACCCGCTCTTGTGATGACTGGCCTACAAAGACAATTGTTTGATGCAGGACACACAGGAGTTGGTCACCAACTCCATATTTGGGGCCCTCCATAAGAAAAGGGATCTGACATACAGGCACCAGGCTTTCGGGAGCCAGCCCTTTTATTAAATGTTACACATTATGAGTGTAGCTTGTTACAAAAGGTAAAACTATCCTTTAATGATGCAGTTTCTGACAAAAGACTTACTTAAATATTACTAGCTGTCCTCAAACTTGGACTGGCCAGTAGTCTCCAAACTGCGGCCCGGGGGTGGATGTGGCCCTATGCTTGCCTTTATCTGGCCCTTGGGGCATTATTCCACTAACTGTCACCAATAATGGAGCACCTTTACCCCTACTGACACCATCAATGGCATTATACTTCTCACTGATATCAACAATGGGGCATTATACTTCTCACTGATATCCACAATGGGGCATTATACTTCTCACTGATATCCACAATGGGGCATTATACTTCTCACTGATATCAACAATGGGGCATTATACTTCTCACTGATATCAACAATGGGGCATTATACTTCTCACTGATATCAACAATGGGGCATTATACTTCCACTGATATCAACAATGGGGCATTATACTTCCCACTGATATCAACAATGGGGCATTATACTTCCCACTGATATCAACAATGGGGCATTATACTTCCCACTGATATCAACAATGGGGCATTATACTTCCACTGATATCCACAATGGGGCACTATACTTCCCACTGATATCCACAATGGGGCACTATACACAATGGGGCATTATACTATCTCACTGAACAATACTTTCACTGATATCCACTGATATCTACAATGGGGCACTATACTTCCCACTGATATCCACAATGGGGCATTATACTTCTCACTGATATACTTACCACACTGATATCCACAATGGGGCACTATACTTCCCACTGATATCCACAATGGGGCATTATACTTCTCACTGATATCAACAATGGGGCACTATACTTCCCACTGATATCAACAATGGGGCACTATACTTCCCACTGCACTATATCAACAATGGGGCATTATACACTGATATACTTCCCACTGATATCAACAATGGGGCATTATACTTCCCACTGATATCAACAATGGGGCATTATACTTCTCACTGATATCAACAATGGGGCATTATACTTCTCACTGATATCAACAATGGGGCACTATACTTCCCACTGATATCAACAATGGGGCATTATATCACTGATATCAACAATGGGGCATTATACACTGATATCAACAATGGGGCATGATATACTTCCCACTGATATCAACAATGGGGCATTATACTTCCCACTGATATCAACAATGGGGCACTATACTTCTCATGATATCAACAACTGATATCAACAAGGGTGGGGGGCACTATACTTCCCACTGATATCCACAATGGGGCACTATACTTCTCACTGATATCCACAATGGGGCACTATACTTCCCACTGATATCCACAATGGGGCACTATACTTCCCACTGATATCCACAATGGGGCACTATACTTCTCACTGATATCCACAATGGGGCACTATACTTCCCACTGATATCAGCAATGGGGCACTATACTTCCCGCTGATATCAGCAATGGGGCACTATACTTCCCACTGATATCGGCAATGGGGCATTATACGTCTCACAGATATCTACAATTCCTCCCTTTAAAACCAATGATTTTTCTGTAATATTTTCTGTAATAGAATAGTTTATTTAATCATCAGCGCCATCTAATGGTCAAAATGAGGAACAGTTCTCTGAACTACCTCAGTGAGATAATATACGCATTCTGGCCACTAGACGAAGCGAAGGATCATAGGACTTAAAAAGAGGAGCTATACTTACCTTCACTGCAGTGATTTGGCAACCTGGAGCTGTCAGCCAGTCGCTAACATCTTCAAGTGGCCGGCTTCTGGGTACAGCCTACCCGCCACTTTCACAGGCTGGGCCAAGATGGTGTCACTCCTGTGCATGTGTGGGAGTTCATTCATCTTGGCACTGCTGAAATTGTACAACGAGCTGCACATGCACAGTTCAGTGTACAAGGGCAGACAGGCAACTAAGGAACTTTTAATGCAGAAGAGATATAGAATGTCTCTTCTGCATAAAAAAAAAAACCTGCCTGTTCTCCAACTTTATATCTTTTTTCTTACAGTTTCATTTTTAAGTAGAAATCCCACCTAACACTGACTCATCTTGAAAATGTTCCCTCCTGCTACCTATCCTATGTAAAAAAAAAATGATATATTCCCATTCTGGTGAAATGATGAGTCTCCCCTGTGTCAGTCTAAGGTGGCTGCAGGGGAGAGGAGGGAGCGCCTACAATGGCTGGGACATGACAGCCTATGAATGACATCACAGCTCCTGGAATTCCCAGCCACTGTCAAGCACTCTCTCTCCACTGCCCTGCAGCCACCACTGACTAAACAGTGGAGACAGATCACATGACTAAATCAAAGCAAGGTGAAGAGAGGTAAGTGTACACTTTTTTTTTCTAAATACATGTTTATCAGCATAGCAGGAATTCCTCTACTCTGCTCCCCAGTGATCGCTTTATACAGCATACACACACCCGCAATCAGCAGATCACACCACATTCCTCAATTACCAATCAGCAGGAGTTAGCTACACTGCCATAACGAACACTGCAGAAGCAGAATCGATTAGGTTTGTGTCCTGTGTGTGTCCGGGAGGCTCTGAATGGCTGAGGGTCACCAATCCGCTTTAGATCTACCAAAAATAGCTAAACCCGAGCACCGACCTGAACCGACCCAATCAGTCTCCCTCTATAGCGAAGTATGGGATGAGGAGGAGGAGGAGCTCAAACCCCGGGCTGAATGTCAAGTCACGGCTTGCTTGTGCAAACTGATAGGACCACGCCACATACACAGCCACCCCACAAGCAGGAAGCCATGACAACATATAGGGATCCAGTGACTCCCTACAACACACAGGCTCCCCCCCCCCGACACCCTACATGATGAACTTGTGCCTCTCCACGCCATGTACAGGATAATTGTGCCGCCCCACGCGCAGGGGCACATGCACCATATACGGATCCACTGACTCCCTACAACACACAGGGGCCCCGATACCCTATCTGAAGAACTTGTGCCTCTCCATGCCACCTACAGGATACCTGGGCTGCCCTGAGCCGACCCACGCATAAGGCACATGCTACATATAGGGATCCAGTGACTCCCTACATCACACAGGGGCCCCAATACCCTATGTGAGGAATGTGTGCCTCTCCATGCCACCTACAGAATGCAAGGGCCATCCCACGCGCAGGGGCACATGCAACACATACAGATCCACTGACTCCCTACAACAGACAGGGGCCCTGACACCCTATGTGAGAGGAACTTGTGCTTCTCCATGCCCCATGGATACCTGGGCCGCCCCACACGCAGGAGCACATACAACATATAGGGATCAAGTGACTCCCTACAACACACACCCCCCCCCGACACCTACATGAGGAACATGTGCTCTCCAGGCCACGTACAGGATACCAGAGCCCCCCGCGCGCAGGGGGCCCACCAGAGCCCCCCCGCGCGCAGGGGGCCCACCAACTTGGGGGCCCACCAGAGCCGCCCCGCGCGCAGGGGGCCCACCTGGAGCCGCCCCGCGCGCAGGGGGCCCACCAGAGCCGCCCCGCGCGCAGGGGGCCCACAGAGCCGCCCCGCGCGCAGGGGGCCCACCAGAGCCGCCCCGCGCGCAGGGGGCCCACCAAGTGCCCCGCGCGCAGGGGGCCCACCAGAGCCGCCCCGCGCGCAGGGGGCCCACCAGAGCCGCCCCGCGCGCAGGGGGCCCCTACAGAGCCGCCCCGCGCGCAGGGGGCCCACCAGAGCCGCCCCGCGCGCAGGGGGCCCACCAGAGCCGCCCCGCGCGCAGGGGGCCCACCAGAGCCGCCCCGCGCGCAGGGGGCCCACCAGAGCCGCCCCGCGCGCAGGGGGCCCACCAGAGCCGCCCCGCGCGCAGGGGGCCCACCAGAGCCGCCCGCGCGCGCGCAGGGGGCCCACCAGAGCCGCCCCGCGCGCAGGGGGCCCACCAGAGCCGCCCCGCGCGCAGGGGGCCCACCAGAGCCGCCCCGCGCGCAGGGGCCGATGCAACGTATAGGGATCCAGTGACTCCCTACAACACACAGGGGCCCCGACACCCTGTGAGGAACTTGTGGCTCTCCATGCCACATACAGGATACTGGGGCCACCCCACACACAGGGGCCACCACGAGCCGACTCACGCGCAGGGACCCCATGCACCACCCCACACACTGGGCCCCTGTGCTGCCTCCTATCAGGCTGTTCTGTGTCCTCCAATGAGCAGTCATGAGACGTGCAGACAGGACAGATGCAGATCATGAAGACATCCCTCCATCCTCTGCTCTGCGGGTCTCCGTCGAGAACTCTCCCCCTGGAGGGTGTGCGGAGTCCGGCGTCTCCCCTCCCTACCCCGGTCCAGTGACAGGTCCTCCTGGTCTCAGTCCCCCTCACCTTGGTGTCCACATCAGCCAGACAGTCCCGGCGGAACTGATCGAACAGGCCCTGGCTCTTCAGGTGATTGACGATCAGCGATACCAGCTTGGGGTCCCCGGGCGGCAGGTTGGCCATATTTGTACAACGAGGTGCCCCGGGCTCATCACCCAAAACAAACGCAGCCCCGACACCTGACCCGGAAACACCGGGGGATTGTGGGAGAGAGAGCGTCCCAGGCAAGAGCGGCCGGGAGCAGTGAGGGGAGGGACAGTGTCTTGTGAGGAGCGCCCTCTGCCCGCACAGCTTGGAATACCATGCTTTGTACTATAAGTTCGGATCAGTTCAAGTAATAAATGCACAGTTTGTTTGCAGGTAATAAAATGTACATTGATTAATTGGTACTTGTCTGTTAATTCACCGGATTTATTTATTTATACATATATATATATATATTTTTTTTTATATATTTAAATAAAACATATACAATATATATTTATATATATATATATATATATATATATATATATATATATATAAAATCTGGTGAATTAACAGACAAGTACCAATTAATTTTGTCTACAGGAGCCTGGAAAGCATTGCACCAGTGATCAGTAGATTGGTGATGTCAGACCTGTCAGAATGTCTGCTTGTTGTACAGGGTGTACAAGCAAGTAGATATCCTGACCAGAAGCTTCAATGAACTACCCCGGGGCTCCACAGTGTCATGGGAGTTAATTGAAAACTACAAGCCGAGAGCCGCTAAGGGAGTTCATTCATCTTGGCATTGCTGAAGTTGTACAACGAGCTGCGCACGTGTGGGAGTTCATTCATCTTGGCACTGCTGAAGTTGTACAACGAGCTGCGCACGTGTGGGAGTTCATTCATCTTGGCTCTGCTGAAGTTGTACAACGAGCTGCGCACGTGTGGGAGTTCATTCATCTTGGCACTGCTGAAGTTGTACAACGAGCTGCGCACGTGTGGGAGTTCATTCATCTTGGCACTGCTGAAGTTGTACAACGAGCTGCGCACGTGTGGGAGTTCATTCATCTTGGCACTGCTGAAGTTGTACAACGAGCTGCACACGTGTGGGAGCTCATTCATCTTGGCACTGCTGAAGTTGTACAACGAGCTGCACGCGCGCACGTGTGGGAGTTCATTCATCTTGGCACTGCTGAAGTTGTACAACGAGCTGCGCACGTGTGGGAGCTCATTCATCTTGGCACTGCTGAAGTTGTACAACGAGCTGCGCACGTGTGGGAGCTCATTCATCTTGGCACTGCTGAAGTTGTACAACGAGCTGCACACGTGTGGGAGCTCATTCATCTTGGCACTGCTGAAGTTGTACAACGAGCTGCACACGTGTGGGAGCTCATTCATCTTGGCACTGCTGAAGTTGTACAATGAGCTGCACATGCACAGTTCAGTGTACAAGGGAAGACAGGCAACTAGCAATAATCACTATGTTCCCCCAGGGGGTTGGGACCCCACCCGCGGGAGAACACAATAGCTCTTCGGGAGGGATTCCTCAATCAACACTGACTGTGTTGATGGGGGAATAAAGCAATTTATTTCCTGCAACCCTTGGTTGGAAAATCACATCATCTATGGCTTGCTTTAAACTAGTAGATTTGGATGGACATTACTAACAAATTAAATCTGAAATCTCGAGAAGATTTTCAAGGCATTTACAGTTTTTTTTAGCTTTTGGGATAAAGAGTTCACATCAGTATATTAAAAGGTGGTCATTGTAAGCACCCCTATCAGTGGTAAATGGTTTATCTCATCCCTGTAAGTGCCACTTTGTCTGGACAGCTTGGTTTGGGTTGCAAATAGAGATTGAAAAATAACAGACATACTGGCTGGATCACCAGGTGAAAATAAAGAAAACTGATGCATCAACCATATCTAAAAATTGGTAAGCTGCAATTTAATAAATATTTGCTTTGGGGGTTTAATACAACTTTAAAGCTTATCTCCAGTGAAAATGAATTTCAGAATAGATGGAGAAGTTTTATTACTTTGATATCCTTTGATCTAAGATCATGTAGAGCAGGGGTCTCCAAGCTTTCAAAACAAAGGGCCAGTTTAGTGCCCTTCAAACTTCAGGGGGGCCAGACTGTGGCTATTGGGAATAAAAAAAATGTTTTGGTATGAACTTAAAAAACAAATCTCCACAACTCTTACCTGGGAGTAAACAATGCCATAGGCTTGTTATTCAGTAGGATTAATGGTGCCCCATCATTAGTATTAGTTGAAGGAACAGTGCTCCATCATTGGTATTGGTGGGAGGAATGATGAGCCTGGGAGTCACTCTGCACATGCTCAGTTTAGTGCGTATTGCTATAGAGTTTTTTTTCTTTGGGAGGGTGCATATGATCAGCACAGGACCAATCAGCACTGTCCAGACAGAGGGTCAGGGATCCTGCAGCCTCATAGGACAGTCAGAGGAGAATGAAAACTCCTCAAGATTAATTAGTGCTCAGCTAGACACTGAAAGAATTCACAAGACTGCTATATACTGCTGATGAGAAAAAGTATTTAGTAGTTTATATTTACTGCAATAATTGTATTCCCTCTTATCGCCTGATAAGACATTGTGTGGAGTCACTCTGCTCATGCTCAGCTTGTTGTGTATTGCTAGAGAGGTTTTTTTGTTTCTTGGGAGGGTACATGTGATCAGCACAGGGCCAATCAGTGCTGTCCAGAGGGCAGGGGTTCTCCATCCTCCTAGAGCAAAATGAAAACTAGTCCTACAAGCTTTAACCAGTGCTCTGCTGGACACTGATAGAAGTCACAAGACTGCTCTAACTGCTTATGAGAAAAGGTATTTAGCAGTTTATATATACTAAAGTAATAGCATTTCCTGTTCTGTGTACTGTGGGAGACCAGATATAGTGAATACAGGGTTCTAGGTTTAGTAACACTTTAAGTATACTTTTGTATAACTTGTATTTGTCTTTATTCCACAGAACAAATAAAAATCCTCATTCCACTGAAGAATCCTGTTCTGGGTGAAATGCGCTGGGAGCTATTTGATCTAATATCCATACTTTCATCCACACTATGGACCAAGCTACGACCATTAGAGACTTGGTGCCATATGTGTCGTATTGGAATTTCGATACTATGTTGAGGGGTTGATGTTCTATATAAAAATGATGTCCTAATATGAGTTTTGGTTTAATAATTGTGGGGTGTAGTTAAATCCCCTATGTGTTTTTAGATTTTCTTTGGCATAAAAATGATCAGGTGAATATATTTTACTGACTTCCAAAATAGGAATTAAATGGCAGAACAGGAGTGACTGACACAACCCTCTTGTCCTCATATCCAAAAAATGTCCACACTTTGGCAGATTAGGGCCTTGGACAAAGTTGCAGCTTTGTTCATCCTTTGAATTGACATGGATATGGATTGCGATAGGCTTAGATCAAATACCACAGCTCTGACCAGTTTTACTACCTCCTGGCTTATTGCAGGAGCACAAGGTTGTAGCTGCCCATTTGAAATTCACTGTGCTTTGGACTCCTGCATAAGTTGCCTTGTAGATGATGCAGCTCTACTCTTATACAAAACAAATGAATGGAATTCACTTGGATCTACTCTGTTTGTCAAGTTTGGATATCAATATTAATGACAAAAAAAACTTATTGGGCTACTTAGCTCCTTAAAGAAAAAAAAATCTCTGCTGGTTCAATCTACCCCTATATTGGCATTTAGAGAAGACCCAGTCCCCATCCCAGTGCTTTGGGTTTTCTACAGAGACAACACAGGAGAAGTTGTTTCCTTTCAGACACTCTGTCCCTGAAACCTCAGATGGAGCAGAAGATAGGAAAGATAGTGGACATGTCACTTCTCTGACTCATTCACTTCCTCTTGTAAAGGAATAGCTTCTAAGCCAGGCATTCTCCTCCATGGTTCTGTGGAACCCCAGGGTTCCTCCAAAGGTGGCTCCAAAGAGGTCCTTGAGCTCTAGCCAACTGACTTCCCATCTTATGGTGCCTACATAGTTCCAGGTTCAACTCCACTTAGCAGAGTCAGCGGCATGCCTTCAGCAGTGGCATTCTTCCCATTGACCACCACTTATGTAAGGGTCTTTTACCCAATGACCCCCCTCCAATCTTATTAGGGGTTCCCTGATACCTGAAAGTTATTTCAATGGTTTCCCTGGGGTAAAAAGGTTAAGAAAGGCTGTACTAAGTTGTATAACAGAGGAGGTAAGAATAAGGCCTATCTGCAGACAAAAATAGCGTTTTCCTAAGCAATCGGGCTGTGCCTGAACCGCACTGGTAAACTGCTCATTTTGTCTAGGAGTGAGGAGAAAGCTTATACTCACCCGTTCCTTCATTCCACTGGAAAACGTTTTTTCCCACGGTCCAGCAGTGGACTTGTTCCTGGTCTATAGATCCTGCTCTTGGCTTGATGACATCAGGAACAGTCCATCGAACAGGGGGGGTTGGGGGTCAGGAGCAGTAGGGACCATTCTTCTGCTGGGAGGATTCAAAGGATTAAGTAAGTATATCTCCTTTCTCCTCTCCCACAGATAAAAACAAACAGCCCCGCAGGAAACCTTTTTTTTTGCCCAGAGATGGGCTTGAAGAATGTGAACAGGAGTCGTGAGCTCCACCACCTGGCTACTTAATGAAACTACAAAATATTCAGTGCACTATTTCACATTTTCCTGAATACAAAAAATATATCTTTTCATTGTGAATATTTTTTTTACTCTTGGCTCTAATAAATAAAGTAAGAACATGTGTACCTCTTTTACATTTCCTTCAACATTGCCATCTTTTTTGACATGTATACACCTGCATAGTTTTATTAGCCAGTCTAACTACCGGGCAAACAAGCAACACCGCTCCCTTTTATCCACAGAAAGGAGAAGTAATTTTATACAAGTCAGTGAGAAGCAGCAGTTCTTAAGGGAAAGCCTTTGACAGGCTGAATAGTTGGCAAAGATGAGAATGGTGACTAGACAACAGGTCTGTTACTTGGAAAAGGAGCCTTTTATTCTATCTGGGTTGTATTGGCCTCAATGCTGACACCTTTAATACTTCTCAATAAAAGTTTCTAAGTGATTTCTGGAACAAAACTGAAATTGCAGAGAGGTCTCGCTTCCTGGTTCTCACACTGGAATTAAACAGAGCAATTCTTGT